AAAGTAGACAGTGAATTAAGTTTTGAAATAAATTTGTATATTACAACTGATTTTTATTTCTAAGCATTTAATCATTTTAAATCAGTTTGAAAAACTGAAATAAATTGGTCAAAGGAGTTCAAAAATATTTTATAAAAGATTTTTTCCTTTTCAGCTTACTGTTGTAAAAATTATCAACGTAGGACCTTATATTCTTATAAAAGAAGTATTACCACGCTAATCATTTTCACATATGGTTAGTGTAATAAATTAATTTTATGCAGCAATTAAAATGAGAGCCATTAAGCATGTTTAATTATAACTGCTGGCATTTCAATTGGGGAAACTGAGTCCCCTTAGTATGCAATGAGGGTTGGTTACAGAGGTTTTTAAAATTACCCTCCATTTTACTGGCTAAGAAACTGTGGTAGGTGAAAACACAATAAGTTACTGAAATAACTAGTATTAAAAGGCCCATGATCTTAACTAGTATTAAGAGGCCCAATCTTGTTTTACGCCTTTTTACCTTTCTAAGGGATCGATTGTAATAATGAGTGAAAACATTTAGCAAAACAAATGTAAAAAAAAATTTAGAAAAGTACATTATAAATTTTGAGTTATAAATTCATCACTAAAATGTACACTACATCTTATAACTATAAAAGTATACTTTAATAAATTTTAATACAACTAATAATACAGGATTAATACTTTTAGAAAAGAAGTTTTCTTACCTTTCTTACTCATTAAAGATACCTGCTGAAATAGTAATAATTTCAAATATTCAATTGCTTTAGTAGACAACAGTGAAATTTGCTAAGCTCAAAGTTCTGAGCTAATGACCTGCCATTAGGAATTATACTTCCACCCATGAATGTTGCGATAATTTTGTATATAAAAATGTAGTGTAATATTTAGAACAAACCCTATTTAAGATTTCAATGCAAGGAGGACTGAAGCACAAACTGGAGATTGATTTCAACATCATTATTGATCAAGATTGCAATTAAGTAATTTTTCTCTTTTGTGGAAACCTCCTGAAATAGATCTTTCTGATATATTTCTAGAAGACAAACCTTTCCCTCTAAAGTCTATAATTAAGTAAATGGCCTTATTTACATTTTTCTGCAGGTCATATGACCAATCCAAGGACCCACACAAATGAATATTCTGGTTTACTTACACCAATATGTTCCTTTGAGGTTTCGTTCACACTATAAACATACCATGGGGGTAAGGAGTGGAGAGGTAAGGGGGAAAATATTCAGATTCATTTGAGCAAGGCCACATTCTGTTTTTTCCAATAAATTTAAAAGTTTAGAATTTCAATGCTGATTTTTAAAACATAATCTTCAATTTAAGAATCTTTGTAAATATATTAAAAACGCTGAAAAGAGGCTGTATGATAAGCCAGTAGTAAAGTCAACCAGTTCTCATGACCTTCCATTTAGCTATTCAGGACTAAATTTAAGATAGTAATCATCACACTAAGAAATAGCAGTAAAACAATTATTGTACCATTTCTAAGTATTTGTTCTGAGATGCATTAATAGATTTCTATGCAGAAAGGGTAACTGAGCTAAACATTTAACAGGTTGCACATACATCAGGTACTGTGTTAAATGTTCCAGTCCAAAGTTAAAAAAGACAGTCTCTCCTCTCAAGGAGTCTGTTGTCAAGAAAACAAACTGACGCAAATATTTAAAGAATTGTGAAAAGTTTTAGAAAAGAGACATCTATATGATGCAATAGCTATACAAAGAACTGCACATAGGGGTGGGGAACCTGCAGCCTTCTGATTTCAAGATTGTTCTTTTTTAAGCACCAAATGAGGCAAGAAAAGCTTCATCTTTCTCTGCTGCAGCCCTTTTGATAAAAGGATTTGTTCTGCAAAATTTGTATTCAGTCAAAAAGCTGCACTCAAGGATCCAGAAGGCCAGATGTGGCCCCAAGGCCCAAGGTTCCCCACCCCATTAATGTCATGCTAAAGTGTTCACGCTAAGAATATTAAAGCTAATAGAAAAGTATGGTCAAATTTGTGCATCAGAAAAAGAAAGGGCAGTACTGGCAGAAGACAAGCTCTAGTCTAGGAGTCCTGTTAAGAGACATTTAATGATCAGGATCTAGAATTTGTTTTAAAAAGAGAGAGAGAGACAGTTAATCACTGTCTCAACTAAAACAGCAGCAGTGCCAATGGAAAAAAGGAAGCCTTAGGGACATGGTAAGTTAAAAACAAGAGAATAGAAGCATCCACTGGATAAAGGTAAATGAGGAGAACAAATATGACCACCCCCAAATGTCTACCTTGAATGGCAAGAGATTAATCAAAATAATGAACTCAGAGGGGGTAAAAAAGTATATTTTATGGAGAAAAATTAATTCCATTTTTGACATACTGAATTTGTGATGCTTGCAGAACATTCGTATGGAAATATTTACAACTCAGACCTTCTCACTCTTGTGTATGTCATCCTTATGAACAATTACAACCATCAGGTAACTTCTATTCAGGTAACTCCAAAATCAACATCCAGAGCATGACACCTCCATTTTTATTACTATTTATTATTTTTCAATCAGTTGACAATTCAGTTCAGAAATATAGTATATTAGAGTTAGACTTGAATCCTAAGAGATTACATCATCCAACTGCCCCCATCTTCTGGATGAGAAAATATGAGTCCTAAAAATGCTTAAGTTATGAAACCATTAAGCAATAGAACCAGAATTAAATATGTGGGTTTATGTCAAATTTCCACTGCAATACCTTGCAGCACATTCCTCTCCTGCGAATCAGGCTCCCTTATGATTATGCCAGGAAAAGTGATAAAGCTTAACAGATCTGCCTCTAAATGTTTTTTACTCTAAAACATGCTGAGTATCACTGCCAAATTAATCTTACTAAAAGAACAATTTATGCCATTCTTTGTTCAAATGTTCTATTGTCCATACATCATAGAAATACTGCCCTAAGATTGGGAGGCTAAATTATTGTCCCAATGCTATGGCTGTGTCAGTTGCTGCCTACCCCTCTGCAGAAAGGTCTTCACAATGAAGCTTAGTCCTACCCAGTTCCTTAGCCAATCATATGCAAGGCAAGTACATTTGGATCCACAAGTACAAGCAGAGAAGCAATAGTGTAAAGTACTCAATAGTTTAGTCTCTGGAGACAACTAAAATTTAAATTGAGGCTCTCCACTTAACAGCTATATGACTTTGGGCAAATTATTTAACATATATCTGTACCTCAGTCTTCTCATCTATAAAATCAGGACAATAAAAGTTCATATTTCACAAATCTGTTAGAATTAAATGAGCAAGTAAATGCGAAACACTTTGAAAAGTGTCCGACATATTGTATGTGCTCAGTAAGTGTTAGCTATTATTACTGCTGCGGGTAGTCTGGAATCAATCTTCCTGCTCAGAATTTGCTTGAGCATGTACAACACAGGCTCCTTTTACAACCTAAGTTACAACCTCTTTTACAACCTCTACTGTTTTGAGATTCCTTTGCCTTTCTTCTACCACACCTTCAAACACATCATATTAGACATTAATTTTGATTGTTGCTTTACTCCCCTTAGGGGCAGCCCTATTTGCTCCACTATGAGATGATTTACCCATTTCAAAACACCTGGGTATGCTTTGGTCATCTAAAGCAAGCAAAGATAGCGCAGAAAAATCATTCTAGATCAAGTGTCCTCAAACTATGGCCCATGCGCCACATGTAGGTGTTTTTGCCCGTTTGTTTTTTTAATTCAAAATAAGATATGTACAGTGTGCATAGGAATTTGTTATAGTTTTTTTTAAACTATAGTCTGGCCCTCCAGCAGTCTGAGGGACAGTGAACTGGCCCCCTGTTTAAAAAGTTTGAGGACCTCTGTTCTAGATGCACAGAAGAAAAAACTAGGTAAAGACAGGGAGACAAGGAATCAAAAAGACCAAAATATTTGTGTGTAAAAATGTGAAGATAAAAATAAGACAATCAATGTAGGCAGAAGATTTTAATGCCAGACTAGGGCTCTATTTTATTATCTTGCTTTGTTGGCAATATTGAATTACAGCCTGGATATTTAATTTATAATCTATAAGCAACTATCCTTAGAACCAAAAAACAGAAAAAATAGCAGTAACCTCAGAATAGAGGTTGGTATCATTTGTCCTAAATGAACTAAAGTTTCATTTATCTTTCCATCTTGCTGGGTATGATATTCTTCCCTGCTTAGCAGATATCAAAAGAAGTCCACACCACCAGAAACCACCATATCTTGACACACAGGTCCTGTCTACTGACTTGCAATTACATAAGAGGGGCAAATATATTACAACTATTTTGAAAGGGAACAAATATTTTATAATTCCCAAAGATCTGGTTTGAGATATTAACGTCTGGCATAAGATGAGAGAATCTAGGAGCATGAGCCCCCAATATCTCCAATCCCAATCACATTTCAAAAGTTTAGAGAAGGAAACAAGCCCAAAATGAATTGATCAATTTGCATTTTTAAAAATTTCTGCTAAATTAAATATATGAAATGAAGACACACTAACCACTTTCAAGATGTACAACTCTCTAATTTGGATTCTGACCAGAGCCAGTAACTCTTCCAAGTAAATTCAGAATCTCACAGGAAAATAATGGAATGACCTGTTACATATTCTTTAATGGTGACAGATTCAATGACTAAACATTTTTAACTGAAGTAATCTTTTCAAATTTAAGACTTATAAAGTGGTTGAATACAGTGATATCTGACTTTGGGAATAGGTCTAGATTCCCATCTGGTATAGCATTTCACAAAAATAATAATGACATATACATGGCATTAGTGATTTAACTGATTATGAAAATCCTGGCTGGGCATGGTGGCTCACGCCTGTAATCCTAGCATTTTGGGAGCCGAACCAGGAAGATAGCTGCAGCTCAGGGGTCCGACACCAGCCAGAACACAGTGAGACCCCCATCTCTATACTCTAGAAACAAGAAACAAACAAACAAAAAGACAAAAAAAAAAATACACAAAACCCAGCCGGGCATTGTGGCGTGCACCTGTAGTCCCAGCTACCTGGGAGGCTGAGGCAGAAGGATCACTCACAGTCCAGGACCTGGAGCTTGAGGTGATTACAATCACTGCACTCTACCCAGGAACACTGAGTGACACTCTGTCTCAACAACAACAACAAAAGGGAGGGGGGAAGTAAATCAATTGACTGGCTGGCTCTGTGAAAATGTGGATTCGGTGTCTACATTTCTGGCTCCCTTATTCTGTAATTACCTTGGTGGCATGAACCACATCTATGTTTTCATTTCCAATACCTGACACAGTGTTGTGGACATAGAGTATCAATATTCAGCGTCAAGGAATATATGGAAGAGTTATCTATATATACTATGCAAGAGCCATGTAGTTAGTATCGTGCCAAGTATAAAACTTAGTATCTCTTTTATCCACTATGAAATAAGACAGAGGAACCCACAGTTTCAAGAAATGTCAGTTTTCCATTTTCATTTCTTCCCAGTACTCTTTAAATTAGGGGGCTTAATAAAGTATACTTAATAAAGTATAATACACATTTTCATCATATATACATCATATTGTATACACATACTATATTGTATTCATGCTGCATCTCTTTTAAATCTTCAAAACAAAGATTATTTTCAATACTATGTCATAGGTGAAGAACTGAAGTAACTTTACCATAAAGTTAGTGAGACAACTGGGTCCTGAACTTTTAACATTCTGACTCCAGTCAATGCCCTTTCCATCGTATTTTGCTTAGAACAAATTTGGAAGTCACTCAGAAAACTAAATGAAATTTTAAAATCACTTCAAATTGTGGATTTTGGAACATTTGTTCAATAAAAAAAAAAAAAAACAAAAACAGACAACTGGCTAAGTAGCCTAGTTTTCCAAGCTTGAGTTATGAATTTACTATGGATTCTTATGCTCTGAAGATGTGCTACAGGGAATTATCTATTCTCAACTTTTTGTCAAGAAAAAGAAGCTTACAAAATCTTTACTTCTATTCTATGTTATAATTAATTTATCCAGGCAGATATACTGGAGAGAATAGCGGAGGAGGGAAATAGAGATAAGAGGGAAACAGAAGAGAGCAGTTTCATGATTGAGTTACAACATCTCTAACATCTGAGAAAGGCAAGTTTTTAAAAAATCATTTCAAAGTTCTACAAAAGAAACAGCTACATGACTATTGCTAACTAGTGCAATAACACATTTTCATAAGTAGTATTGAATAAGTAGCCAAGATTTCTGGAAATAAATGCCTGGTAATAATTAATAAAAAGTTTTCTTTAAAAAAGGGATTCTTCTCTGAGAAGAGAAGCTAAATAAGCTAAAAAGAAATGTTTTCCTTTTAAACAGAGAGAATTCTGTATTAGTTTTCAACAGGGCAGTGTTGGTTCATAGCCTTTAGATAGGAAAAGCCAAAATTACACTCAATTCTGACATTAGATTCAATTAAAGCACTGTAATAAGATGCCATCCACCCAGCAGTCTGGAGGAATGTACTCCAAGACTTGTGAACTCTTAAGACAAAATTACAAATAACCACAATGTAGATGTATTGCCACTAAAATAGTCAATAATGGGAAGATTTCACTGATAAGTAGTTCTCAGGCCTCCTGTCATTAGGAAGTAGAGGTAAAAACAGTAGTAACAGCAGAAATAACAGCTGCAATAGCAGCAGCAGTAACAGTAATAGTGGTGGTAGTAGCAGCAGCAGTAACAACAACCTGCTGACAACAATAAATGCATGTGCATTTATTGAGTGCCTACTTTGTGTAAGGACAGTGCCAAGTAATTTAAATATTTAGCTAAATTAAATAAATGTATTTAGATTAATAATTTAATTAATTTTGATACCTTATCTCTATTTCTTACTGCTACCCTGCAAGGAATTACTATATATCTTTCAGTGATGAGGAAGCTGAGGTTTACAAGATTAAGTAATTTATTCAAGGCTACAGAGCTGGTTAGACACAAAACTAGTAAATCTTGGACTACCTTATTTCAAAGCTGCACTCCTTTCACAACACCATACTTCACAATGGTATGAATAAACATATTTTTCAGTGTAGAAGATTAAAAACAGTGGGATCCTATATTTTAGTAAATGATATAGAAAACGAGATGTACAGTAGCCTCTCCAAGTTTGCAGATGACAGTAAGCTTTTCCATGGGGTCAAATACTTAAGTGACAAGAGTGAGACTGCAGAAGGATCTCAAAATCAGAGAAGTGAGCTGAAAGTATGAGATGAACCATAATGTAGTCAAGCATGGGCAGTCTAACATAGGGGAAAATATGGATACTATTTATAAGACAGTTATGGCTAAAATGAACCTAGAAGTCTTCACAGACATTTCCTAAAAATGTAAGTTTAATGAGCTTTATACACCAAAAATCTAAAGGTAAGACTAATATGTGATACAATAAAAACTCTAAAGAAAGATATACTGGGTTAGGAAAAGAAAGTTAACAGAAATGATTTATATGGGAAAGTTAAAGTAAAAAATAGATGAAGATTGGAGTAATTCCATTTCAATAATATGTGGGCAGAAATAAAATCATGAAGAGTAGTAGTATAATAATAATAATTTTATACTTGTATGGTCTTTCCTATGTGTCAATTATTTTCCAAGTACTATCTGCACATATTAACTCCTCTAATTACTTCAACATCTTATGAGTAGGTACTTTTGTTATCTGCATTTTGCAAATGAAGAATTGAGACACAAGAGGTCAGATAACCACCCAAAGTCACATACACCTAGTAAGGAGCAGTGCAGAAAGCCAAACTAGGCCATCAGGTACAGAGCCTGTGTTCTCTGCCCACCCTATCACGCTGTTCCAGTAAGGGTCTGAGGGAGCATACTGTGCAGCTGGGCATTAAATCTCCTAATCTTAGTATAAAGGAAGACCACCTGAAGCCATTTAAGAAATAAGAAACTTAACAGCTAATAAAAGGCTCGAATAGTAATAGTCTCAACAAAGTAGGTAAGTGGGTAGATTGATAAGCTAAGCATAAGGAGTTACAGGGAGAAGCTAGAAATAATTATGAGAGAATCTTAAGCTTACTAGTGTGAAATCATGTCAGGTGACCATACTCTCCAACAAAAATATACCTTGCTGCTAGAATCCAAGGCAGAATAGGCTAATAACTGGTCTGTCTCTGTTATGTACTTCTTAGAGTTTACAAACATAATAATATCATTTTTCCTAATATAATTTCTAAAAATATAAATATGTACTTGCTGGAATCTACTAATAATTATAAACTCTACCTTACAAATGATTCATGTACATGAATGAAATGTCTAGTCCTTTGTAGTCAATACTCTACATAACTACTTTTATTTCCCAATTAAGAAAATATGAAAAATGATAAATATAGATCAGCATTATACACACTATTCTATGGAGATTAATGTCAAGAAGTTAATAAGTATTGGAAGAAAAAAATTCTAAGGTCAAATAAATATTCTTAGATATTCACAGGCCACATACAGCATGAAAAAATCCCATATTGAAGAATCTGTTTAACTTGCATTTCCTAAACTTATCTGACCATGGAAACTTTTTTCCCAAGACTGTTTATAAATTAGGGACATTAGTTCTACAGTACAGAATTTGGGAAGCACTGACCTAGTTACCCTCTTTTATAGAAATCCAAGAGAATTTCTTTTACAAAGGTACATGAAGAGAATTAAACATGCCTAGGAGTAATGTGAGCATTAAATTTTCTCAACGTCGAGTCACTCTTTCTGCTACTGGAGTTTTGTGGCATTCTAAATTCATCTTCTCATAAGAATAAATTATGATATTTAGGTACAACCAGTATCGAATAACAGAACCCCACAATCCTAGAACAAGTTAGCACCCAAATTTTATAAATAGGCTCCCTGAGGCTCTAAGAACACTACCACTCCCCTGGTTTTCCTCCCACATCATTGGCCACACCCTCTTAGGACTACCTCACCCCAACTCCACCCCTGCACATCCTCCCATATTAGATTACTTAACCAATATAATGTAAATGCTATGTAAGTAATTATTATACTGTAGTTTTATTTGTATTTTTATTGTTGTATTGTTTTTTATTGTTTTAGTTTTCCAAATATTTTTGATTTGTGGTTGCCTGAATCTGAGGATAAAAAACACGAGGATATATTGGGCCGACTGTACTCCTATACTGCTAATGTTAAAAATGGAAAGAAGTTGCTATTTCTTGGCAAAATTTTTAAAAATTGGGTAGAAAGAGGGCAGATAACAAAAATTCCTCTCTGAGATAGATAAGGAAAAAAAGACTAGCATATCACTAAGTCCACTACTAAAAAGCAAGCCACTTTTGGAGATTTTGGAAAATTTTCCAATTACAATATAAAATTAGTTTGGAAATGTAAAACTAATAGATTCAACTTTTTTATTATAAATTGCAAGGAACGCATTACATACTAAATGGACATATAAATTGGCTTTAAATTTGTTTTAAGATACAAATTAAAAAAGTTCTGATTTGAGAGTAAAAAAACCACATTGAGTCATTATCTCAGAGCCTGCCTACTCTTATCGATTAAGACCACAAAAGGTATTTTGCTAATCTTTAAAATTTGGGAAATTAGTATGGTATAAATAGTAACCTTTTAATTGTGCAAGAAGAAAAAATGCACGGTCTACTAAGTCGATATAGCTATCCGTCTGCAAGCCAAGTAACAAGGCTTCCATATGACAATTAAAGCAATGCTCCTATTTATAGGATATCTATAGCCTTTATTCATTAGCAAGTAATTCCTGAGGCACTTCACAATTTTTTATTAAAAGAAAAGAATAGTGTCAAAAATGTTTAGATCTATATTCAATGAAACTAAAATAAACAAATGGCAAATTTAAAATATATATAGGAAAGAAACACATGCATTATTGGTTACCACATACATATTTTTTTAATATGTTACCTTTACCAAAAGGAACTACATTAATAGCCAAATAGATATTACATATTAGATGTACAAATATATAACTTTAAAATTTGTTTTTAAGGTCTGCAAAAGGAAGTTTTGCCAATTCTTTACACCTCAGAACTCACAATTAAGATTATAATAATAATCCTGATAGGATAGAGGATATAACAATGATCTGAGTAACAGCCAAATTAAAATGCTACACATAATAGGCAGCTATATGAAATCTGTAGCAAATTCTGAAGAATCTCTTGGAGTTCTTAACAAAACAAAGCAAACACTAAACAAATTTTAAAGAATATAAAAACAGACATCATAAAATAGACATCAATAAATTTAGAGAACATAAAACCAAGCTATTAAAATTAAATTAAAATATTTAAAAATCAAAATCTGAGAATTGGTATTGTTGAAAAATTATAGACTTAATACTGTTTAATATATTTTAAATGTCAGTAAAAATAACTGCAATTTTGGAACATAATGGTAGAGCCCTGTTGTTCCAAGGATAAGAAAGTAGCTATGGTTTCCTAACAACCAGAATTTTTATATTCCTTGGACTGCATTCATGCTAGAGAAAGATTTAAGGGCAGCAGCCAAAATGACTAAACTTCAACTTGGATGTTGAAGCATTGATTTGATGGGCTTTTCTTGTTCATAAATGACTCATAAGCTTAAGGTCATGAGCCAAAGCCCCCAGTGGGAAGTGTGCTCAGTTTGGTAGGCCTTGAGGCCATCTCTGGCCAAATCAGCATTAGCCTTATGGGAGGCCAGCAGTGTAGGAAGGGAGTCTCCCCAAGATCTGATTTCTTGAGGCCATAACCTAGAGCAGGTCCCACAGTCAAATTATTCACATTCCTTGGAAAGAGAGAACAGGCATCAGTTGTGTCCATCGAAGGGGGACACTGTCCAGGTGAACCCTGGACATTTTTTGAAATCTCTGGGCTGCTTCTGCATCTGAAAAATAAGAAAAATAGCACAATGACAGACAACGAATGAGGAAAAAGACAATCATCTGGCCTAAAAACTTAAGACTTACAAGAAATTAAGAAAGCAGACAAAACAGACAAAAAGACAAACAGCCATATTATTTGGAATGTATTATTCTGAAGGCAAGTACAGCAGAGAAAAACACAAATTATTTTAAGCAATGTAAGAAAAGACCATAGCAACAAAAGTTATTTTTAGAGAGCACCAACTGGAGAAAAAAATGTATGTTAAGATATGTCAACCTGACACAAAGATAAGGTGGAATAAGAATCTAGTCCCATTTGAAAGCTGAAAAGAGCTAAATAATGAGAGCTAGTGTCATGAACTTGGCTGCTTAACTGCCTTTGTGTAAGAAAACATCTCAGAACTTTGAACTTAGGAAATTCCAACTTGTCTTGCACCAGGTCACGAGCTCCATAGAGCAGGAACCTATTTCAACAAGCAGCTTTAAAAAAAACAAAAAACAAAATACTTTAATATTTTTCATTGCTACTAATGATACATCTAAAATGCAATAGTGCTAATCCATCAAAGTAAAATGCACTGAATAAAAATTAAACTTACTCAGAAAGGTGTTCAGAAGTTGGGATACAAACAGAAACTGAAATTAGAAGAAAAGTTTTATATTTACAATAGCATATGAAATATGATGAGTGAGAATAATGATTCAGTAAAGAACCCACATTTTGGCTGACAAAAATACTGGAATAAATATAAAAAATCCAAAATAGCATAGTTATATACATACCTTTCTCTAGTACAACTTGGCAAGCATGAGTTTCATGTTGACTTAAGTGTTTAGCCATATTATCTAAGCCAGAAACATCAGTTATGAAATCACAATTAAGGCACACTAGAGTAATGCCCCTATAAAAAAAGAGAGAGAGAGAGAGAAAGCAAACAGCATAAAAAGAAAATGTTTTTATCTTTTATGAAAATCCATATACAAGTTCCATGATTATTTTTCCATTATCTTTTTGTGTCAAACTGTAACTTCCCATATTTGTCCTATAAATTTGATACACCTGAAATGATTCTCTAGAAAATGACATAGCCATGTACAAATTATGCTACCATTTATTTATGAAAAGTATTTGTTTTATAAACTTTTACCTCTCATACCAATTGATAAAAGTTAGGAGTCAAAAGACCTACAGCCAACATTGGCTCCACAAACAATGTGTGTGACTTAGGCAAGTCACATTTTGTTTGTCCCTCTGCCCACCTGCAAAGTGAGGATATGCATTCATTCACTCAGTAGATATTTACTGAGGGTGTCTTTATATCTATACTATACTTACTAGGCATTGTGAATATAATGGTGAACAAAATAGAAAGTATAGTCCGTGCTCTAAAGGAGCTTACAATATAGTGTTTTATTTAGTTGAGGATAAAATGAGGAGTAAAACGTGAAGGGTTTAAAAATAGATCATATTATAGCTGCCATCAGTTGTATTCTATGTGTCAAGAGTTTTCCCATATGTTTCATCTGATCCTCACTACAACCATCCATGATTGGTATTATCATTTAATACTGAACTAACCAAAGTAGTTAATAAAATATCGAAGCCCATAGGTTTAAGTTTCTCATCACCCTAGCAATGTGAACTAGCCTACCTACCTACTCATTCCCTTTAACAAAACTTGACTGCATGCTCCAGTTCTTAAATATATAATGATTAGAAATTTTCAGAGAGGTTAAGAAACAATTCCAATACTCATCAATACTTTTTGTTGAGTACAGGAATAGTTTTTATATTCACTGGATCAAATTGTTTAGCATTTGCTATTTGAAGTATTTAAACATAATTGGCATAAAGTAAGAGATGCTGGCCTTAAGATTCTAATTTAAAATGCATTTGGACTTGTGATTTTTGTTGAAAGGTATTTTAAAACATTATTAAGCCTGTGAAAATACTGAAATGTTTCAGAAAACTTAGAAAGCCACTATATGTTTAATTTCTTACAAGAGGTAAGAACTTGGAAGTTTGTTGGGTCAAGCATTCTAAGGGCTATTTAAAACAAAGTCAAATGCAGTAAATGTATAAATGATGTTAAGTTGTTTAAAGTAATTTGAATTGTAAATGGAACCCTTGAAAAAATTTGGTGTGTTCAACTTAAATGAACTTTATCATATATTAAAGATCTCCTTGAAAGTGACTATTAAAAGTACTAGATTTCTAAAGGAAGTATAAGTTAATCTTAAAAGATTAAGGAAAGTTAAAATTTAAAATACTTGCCTTAAATAACTAACCATAGTCTTTTCTATGAACCAACTGCCCTCACAAACACTAAAAACAGTTTCATTGGTAAGTGGTAGTCTACATGCCTCTATTACTAGACATAGTTAATTGGACAAGGGGTCCAAGTCAAGCCTTCTCTTAAACAGGGATTTCTAACTGGGGATTTTAATCAAATTTCTTGATCTGGGAAAATGTGGGAGGCTGGGAATGTAATGTTTGAGTCATTAATAAAGAAAGTTAGTTTGTATTAAGAAAAGAGAAAGAAACCAAAGTTCAGAGAAAATAAGAAAGACAATATTATATTGCCTCAGCAGGTCAAACTAGAGAGAAATAATGTTACTTCTTGATGATGTTCTGCTTCCGTTATCTGTTCTGGCTATACCTCCTCCTCTCAGGGGTCCATGAGCTTCTTTGGAATCCCTCTAATAAATTATTTTTTCATGGGTGAAATAAAACTTGATCATGCAATGTGATTGTTGTTATTACCAGTTTACTAACAAAGCATAAATATGTTTTTGAAGTTCATCTCATGGTATAAATTTAAGTGTTTTATCAGTATATGAATACAAACAAATACCATACCTTAGACTGACTTCTCCCCTGAAGCTCTAGTCCAACAGCAGTCTACGTATTTACACCTAGATGTCACACTGGTACATCAGAACTGACCTTCCTAAAACTAAAATCACAATACTTCCTCCTAAAATTAACTCCACCTGATTTATCTTTCTTATGATGATATTTCTCTTGACCCTAAAGCTCAAACTACAGTTACCTCTGATCTCTCCTTCCTTAGAACATTTAATATGTCAAGTATGTTATAATACTAGCAATTTATTACTTACTCTGTGTCAGGCTGATTTTTAGACATATCACCTCATCTAAACCTTACAACAACCCAAAGAGGTAGATGCTATAATTATCACCTTTTTATAAAAGACAAGAGTTAACTTAGTAATCTTTCTAAAATATAGAGCTAGTAAAGGTCAGGACCAGATTTGAAATTGAGTTTGATTCCAGAGTCCATATTACATCACAAATATGATGTAATACTACCTTACCACCCTAACTCAGGTCCTTACTAAATCATTTATAACTACCACAATAGTCCTAATCTATATGATTCATGCACCTACAACATACCTTGCATACCCATGAATTCAACCTTCCTTCGGTATCACTTGATTTTATACAAAGCATTAATGATTCTCTAATGCCTTCTGAATTAAGTCCAAATGCATAAGCCTTATTTTCAATGCTTTAAAATCTGGCTCTAAGCTCAAAACTATTGTCCCAGACTCCAATTTTATTACTATTATATGAAATTTGTGCTCTATCCATTTACTAATAGCCATCCCCTCTGTATACCTTCTACTTTTTATTTCTGCACCTTTATTTGTGCTATTTCTTCCAACTGGGATGCCTCTTTTATCAGTAGAAACAATAACCATCCTTTAAAGTGAGTAACACCTACCTAGATCACTCCAAGTAATCTCTCTTCTCTCTGAAATAACTCTCACTGTACTTATTAAAATTCATAGTTATTTATGTTCACACCTTAACTCTAACCCAATAAACTGTACATTCCCTGAAGAGTTGGTTTCAACACTGTTTTATCACTGCCATCTTTATAGGACCTGCTACATCATGTATATGATAGATACACAATAGCTACGAAATGAATATTCCATTTCAATTAGAATATAAAAATTATTATTGTATATAATTATAAATATGCTAAGTTTCATTCACAGAAATCAACCATTTTTCAATTTGAGAACTGTCCAAGTTGAGAGAAAAATACCCCAGATCTTTAAAATCACATAATTCATTTAAAAACTAAACATACAACTGAGCTTGACAACAGTGAGGTAAAAATCAAATTAAAATTTCATTTTTACAATGCAATAAAATCCTATCCATTCTTATGAAAGTTTCAGTAAAGGCAACATCTAATATAACTTAATCTATATCCCTAGATCAGTAAAGGTTTTAAAAGTAATACTAACATATTTTTAAAACTGAATCAAATTTTTCTCTCTCTGTGAGCTATTGGTCCAATATCATAGATGGGACCTATTGTCCACATACATCATTTTCAACATATACATTAATTTATTCAACAAATATTTACTGAGTGTCTATTACGTGCCAGGTAGAGACAAAAAACCAAACTACACACAATGTAGTGAGAGGACATAGACAATAAACAAAAAAGTAAAACTTATAGTATGTCTGATGATCTAGGGAAAAATAAAACATAAAAAGGAGACAGAGAGTGCTGGGATGAAACACAGGGGAGAGGATACAATTTTAAATTTATGGCCGGGTGCAGTGGCTCACGACTGTAATCCTAGCACTCTGGGAGGCCAGGGCGGGAGGATTGCTTGAGGTCAGGAATTCGAGATAAATATAGAGTCAAGGAAAAGCTCACTTGTCAAAGTAGAGGCCTGAAGGAGATAAAGGAGCTAATCATGCAATATCTGGGGAAAAGCAAACTACACATACAGAATAATAAATACAAAGGTCCTGAGAGATATCATCTCCTCTTCTATCTTTTCCACTACAAAACAAGTATTGGCTAACCTTATCTCAATAGGTTAGCTTGGCGGAGCAAAGACGTGGACATTTCAAGGAGCAATGGCAACATAAAGAAAGATAAAGTCCAGGCCGGCACGGTGGCTCATGCCTGTAATCCTAGTACTCTGGGAGGCCAAGGCAGGAGGATCGCTCAAGGTCAGGAGTTCGAAACCAGCCTACCCTGTCTCTACTAAAAATAGAAAAAAATTAATTGGCCCACTAAAATATATATAGAGAAAAATATTAGCCGGGCATGGTGGCATGCCTGTAGTCCCAGCTACTTGGGAGGCTGAAGCAGGAGGATTGCTTGAGCCCAGGAGTTTGAGGTTGCTGTGAGCTAGGCTGATGCCACAGCACTCTAGCCAGGGCAACAGAGTAAGATTCTGTCTCAAAAAAAAAAAAAGAAAGATGAAGTCCAAAGAAATGAGAAGAATATGAAACAATGGTGCTCAATGGATTCTCAGTGTGTGGTATAACCAAAACTAATTATTAATGCTCTTAGAAAAAGTCATCAATTCAAAAGAAGACAGAATAATGGCCAGCAAACATATAAAAAAAGGTTCAACATCTCTAATCATTAGAGAAATGCAAATCAAAATCACAATGAGATATCATCTAACTCTAGTGAGATTGGCCTCTATCAAAAAATCCCAAAACAATAAATGCTGACAAGGATGTGGAAAGACAGGAACACTCTTACGCTGTTGGTGGGACTGCAAATTAGTGCCACCTCTGTGAAGAAAAATTTGGAGATACCTCAAAGAGCTAAAAATAGAAATACCATTCGATCCAACAATAGCACTATTAGACATCTACCCAAAAGAGCAAAAGTCATTCTATAATAAAGACATCTGCACCCGAATGTTTATCGCAGCACAATTCACTACTGCAAGGATGTGGAAACAACTTAAGTGCCCATCAATTCATGAGTGGATTATTAAAATTTGGTATATGTGTACAATGGAATATTACGCAATTATAAAAAACAACAGTGATCTAGCACCTCTTATATTTTCCTGGATTGAGCTTGAGCCCATTATTGGAAGTGAAGTAACGCAAGATCGGAAGAACAGGCTCCACATGTACTCACCATCACATTGGTACTGACTGATTAACACTATGGTGCTCACATGGTAGTAATATTCTCCAAGGATGGGGGTTAGGTGGGGTAAACTCACAACTAAAGGACATGGTGAGTATTGTAGAGGGGAAGGGCATGCCTCTAACACCCGGTAGGGAGAGGCATGATGAAAATGTAACCAAAATGTTTGTACCCTCATAATACCCTGAAATAATAAAAAAAAAAAAAGTTCTGTAAGGTAATCAAGTTACATACTTCTCTTTATTTTGAAAATAAAAAATAAGAATTATAAAGACTATATACTAATTTCAAGAATTCCAGTAGCTTAAGGAATTTACCTCAAAACTGAAAAACAGTCACTTTACTAGAAATCTTAAATAACTTTTTAATGTTCAAATATTATTGGAGAGCCTTATTTTTGCTCTCATTTTACAAGGCAAATGCAACCAGGTTTCATCTTGATGCGCCAGGTGTACTAAAATAAATCTGGCAAGATAACAATGGCTAATCACCCCTCTGGTCTAAGGATAAAATGAACAGAACTCTGTAATGTCCAGTAGCAGTCATTTAGATTTTCAAATTAGGTACCTCACCAGCAGGTAAAAAAAAGTTATAGCAAACCACAAACAAGCCACCACTTCATACCCACTAGGGTGGCTATAATCAAAAAGAGAAAATAACAAGTATCAGCAAAGATGTGGAGAAATTGGAATCCTCGCACTGATGGTAGAAATGAAAAAAAACAGTGAAGTTACTTTGGAAACAGTCTGGCAGGTCCTCAAAGGTTCAACATAGAGTTATCATATAACCTAGCAATTCTAATCTAAAGTATATACTGAAAAAAAATAAAAAAACATGGTCATATGAAAACTTCATAGCACAAATGTTCATAGCAACATTATTCATAATGGCATCAAAATAAAAACAACCTAAATGGATAAGCTATGGTATGTCTATACAATGGAATATTATTCAGTAATTTAAAAAAAATGAAGTGTTGATCCATTCTACAGCATGGATGAACTTTAAAAACATTATACTAAAGGAAAGAAGACACTCACAAAAGATCGTATAGTATATCATTCCAGTTACATATGATATGTCCAGAATGGGCAAATCTTAAACAGAAAGAAAGTAGATTGGCGGTTGCTTAGGGACTGGGAGAGTTGGAGAGAAAAGGGGATGAATACTAATGGGTACAGGGTTTCTTTTTGGAGTGACAAAAATGTACTAAAATTAACTATGGTGATTGCCGTACAAACTCTATGAATATACTAAATGCTATTAAATGCATGAATTGTATATAGTATGTGGTATATCTCAAGCTATTATGTGAAAAAAGTCCTCATTTTTCAACAGAGAAAATAAAAAAAAAGAGCAACTAGTTACCTGAGATCTTCTGAATGCTTCTTAAAAATACAAAACCTTTTACTTGGACGGTTACTATGAAAGCTGCAGAGACAAAAGAGATTTTAATAATCATGTTAATTTATAACTATATTTCAAGTTTATACTTAAGTTTCTAGTTTTTAATAGAAGATCATGATGTAAATAGTAAAATGTTGGTCATTCCTGTTTAATTCCACATTTTATCTTATGTACCATTTTATGAATTTATTTTTTAATGACACATATTTCCCTAAGCATATTCTTAGATTAGTACTATACCCTGCCATTATATAAAAAAGGAAATAAAGACTTTAAAAAAATGTAAACACATCAAATTTAATTTTTTCATTTATTAAGAATTAAAAGCAATTCTGAATTTTTGCTAATAACATTTTTGATATAATATGAATAGTTATCAATAATAATCTTTTTCAATCACTTTCTAATCTTTAATATGCTTGTGTGGGAAGAGGAGAGTAGAACCCAAATGATCTAGAAAATAAATAGTAATTGAACTAAATGCCACTGTTTACCATCCAATGATTCAAACAGTTAAAAGAGAGTTCTCTGCAATTACTGATAGAGGTTTTACAAAGCAAATGAAAGCAGAACTCATGAGTTAAAACAATGCTTCCATGGCTCATGCCTGTAAACCTAGCACAATGGAAGGCCAAGGCAGGAGGATTGCTTGACACCAGGAGTTTGAGATCAGCCTGAGCAAGAGTGAGACCCATCTCTACAAAAAATAGAAAATTAGCTGGATACAGTGGCGCAAGCCTATAGTTTCAGATACTCCGGAGGCTGGGGCAGGAGGATTGCTTAAGCCCAGGAGTCTGAGGTTGCAGTGAGCTGATGATGATGCCACTGCACTCTAGCAAGGGCAACAGAGCGAGACTGTGTCTCAAACAAACAAAAACAAAACCCCCCAAAAAACAATGCTTCTCCTAAGTCCAGAAAAGAAAAACACTAACTAAACTTTGTAGCCAATGACAATAGCTTTTATATAACTTTTTAATTCAGGATTGGAAAGCACTGCTGTACTAGAAGGCCAGGATTAGACTAACAGCATCAACATCACCTGAGAGCTTACAGGAGTCTCCTTATCTAGTTTTAGCTTCTGCAGTTTCAATTACTTGTAGTACAGTACAGTAAGATATTTAGAGAGAGAACATTCACATATCTTTTATTACAGTTTATTATTATAATTGTTCTATTTTATTATTATTGTTAATCTCTTACTGTGCCTAATTTATAAATGCAACTTTAACATAGGTATGTATAGGAAAAACTAAAGTATACATAGAGCTGACTACTATCATAGTTTCAGGCCTTCGTTGGGGGCCTTGGAACATATACCTTTAACGGATAAGGGGGGAACTACTATATTTAAAAATGCAAAGTTTTGAGCTCCCCCTCCCACGAACCTACTGGAGCAGCAGGACCCAGGAATCTGCTTTAATAAGCAGTAATTCTCATGCAAGTGAAAATTCCAGAAGCAGTAACCAACAGGTCAATGATGACTCTCAGATACAGGGTAACTGTCACCACCACAGCGTTTATGTATGGGAAAAGAAATATTCTGGCCAGCTGTAATCCCCAGAAAATAACCTCAGAAGATTTCTAATAGTCATTTCCTCAATCTACAAGTAACTAATATTAATATTAAAGTTTAAATAACTGTAATCCACAAAAGTGAATCCATAGCTCACAAATAAAAACTACCTTTTTTCTTCCTATTAGATCTCCATAAATTTCATAGCAATATAAAAACATATAAAAATAAATCTAAGAAAAGAGAAAAAGGTTTTATTACAATATAGCAAAAACATGTTAAGATCTAAGTTTAAAAAGTCTGCTACCTGGTTACAAGACCATTATAAAAATTCATCAAGCTTTTCTCCATGAATAGGTGAACTTTATTGTGTGCAAATTATACCTCAAGAAAACTGAGGACAAAACTCGCTTTAACCATATTTTCTTAATGTTCTTGCTTCTGTATCACAACTTTACTTTCTAAGAAACACAAAAGGAACAATTTCTTTAACATCCGACAATACTGATGGTATGCCTACTACTTAAGACTTTAGACTAGAGGCTAATGATACAATAACAAAGGCAAATTGCCTGCCCTGGAGTTCATAGACTGGGGAAGGGGAGGAAGATAGGGACTGGCACAGAATAAAAATGCTTAATAAATATGTACTAAATGAATAAACACATATTCTTAAGTCACACAAGATAAAAATCAATAGTGACACATATAAAATTCTAATGAATATCATTTAGTGCCAAGAAATCTATATAAAATGTATAATGAACTCAAGCAGATCTTTAAATTCACTACTCTGTCTCTCCCTTGTGTAGGAACGAATTTTTATACCAACTTTCTTTTTACCTGAAAAACTTAAAAATCATCCTTTAATGGCTAAGCGAAATGTCATTTACAGGAAGTCCTTCCTTTGTTTCTTGCTTAACGAATTTATTCTTACCTTCTTTGTGTTCTCACCATCATTTATCACATTAAGCTAGGTAAATCTATCTCCCCTACCAAAAAAGTCAAGGACTTTACCCTCAATCCTAGAAATGACAACTTAGAAATTAACAGCTATCATTACCTGAATATCCCCTAAATGCAAATCATCTTATTAAGCACTTTAAGTACATTTTCTCTAATAATCACAATAACTTTCTTTTCAAGAAGAGCAAAACTGGAAGTTAGGTTAAGCTACTTGCTCAAATTCACACAGGTAATAAACGGTGAAGCTTGAATTCAAATCCAGATTCTTCTGATCCTTCACCACCATCCCTGCCACAATTCTTAGCAAATTGTACCTTCCTAGTACGCACATAAAGAATATTTATTGAAACAAACCCGGCTGAAATAAACTGCTACAAATTAGAGATATTAATTATGCATTTTGACTTAATTCTATTATCTTTCATGTTTAAAAAAAGCCTTCTTATGCATTATTTTGAGGAATATTATACAGAAATTCTTTTGCATTTTTTCAGGTAATTTCTATTGCTATCTAAAAGCTATAAGCAAATAATGTGCAATACTTTAAACAACTGAACCCAAATAATACATTTTTTAAAAAAGAATCACTTAAAAATTACACATTTAATGATGTTTTTCTTCAAAAAAAGTCTTACTTCAACAATGCTCCAACTTCAAGATATTTTGTGTTTTTTTCTGTTGTTGTTTAAATTACATATATTGTCTTTGCACTGCCCGAGTCAGAGCTACAAACGTGCCCATCCCTGCTCCTTTTGAGATTATATTAAGGGCATTTTATAATTACAACAAATAATGACTATCACCCACAGGTTGTAATGTGCTAGGTGATATGATGAATACAAATAGTCCCCTCTTCTCAAGGAGATAATACAGACACAAATAAATAAAAGGCAAAATAGATGAACAGTATATAATTCAAAGGAAGGAATGATTCTGGTGATCAGATACTTCAAAGATAGACTGAGAGGGAAGGACAGGGCATTCTGGGAACTAGTAAGGAATAAGGAAAAGTCACTGTAGAAAATGAATATGGGAGAAACTGTACTTTGGGGAAGATTAATCAACTTATAGGGATAGGAGACTTTATAGGATGGATTGGGGATAAGAGATCAGAGGGGAAAAGACCAAAAGAGAGGCTACAGAGTTGGTATGGGATAGAAATTAAAGGCATTCATCCTTTGGAGAAAATGAAACTACCATACATAAAGACCTCAAGGCTGTAATAAGAATCCACAATAGACAGAAGTAAGAGTGCACCATTCAGAAGGAGGTACCTAATGCAATAAGGAAAACAAGGGTACCAATGAAGTTAAGAAAAAGAAAAAAGGAAGGCCGGGCGCGGTGGCTCACGCCTGTAATCCTAGCTCTCTGGGAGGCCGAGGCGGGCGGATTGCTCAAGGTCAGGAGTTCAAAACCAGCCTGAGCAAGAGCGAGACCCCGTCTCTACTATAAATAGAAAGAAATTAATTGGCCAACTGATATATATATAAAAAAAAAAAATTAGCCGGGCATGGTGGCGCATGCCTGTAGTCCCAGCTACTCGGGAGGCTGAGGCAGAAGGATCGCTCGAGCCCAGGAGTTTGAGGTTGCTGTGAGCTAGGCTGACGCCACGGCACTCACTCTAGCCTGGACAACAAAGCAAGACTCTGTCTTAAAAAAAAAAAGAAAAAGAAAAAGAAAAAGGAAAAAGGAACTACTGAACCCTAAGAAGAGTGACAATGAAAGCTTTTAGTTTCATAAGAGGTTAATGAGTAAGAATTACTGTTTCCCCGAAAATAAGACCTACCCATAAAATAAGCCCTAGCAGGATTTCTAAGCATTTGTGCAATGTAAGCCCCGCCCTGAAAATAAGACCTAGTGATGGGCGTGGCTACGCAGCACATGAGCACAACCCATGCATTTCGTCACAGAGCAGTAAAGATGAGCAGCCCTTCTCTTCTGCCCCATCCTTGACAGCTACTATCCCAGAGGTGACGGGAAAGGCACGGGCAGCCCCACCAACAAGGTCGGCTCCCCGTCAGGTCCTGGCCATCCTGTGCGTGCTGCAAGCTGAGGCTCTGAGGGGAAAGTCTCCTCAGTGAAGTGAGGAGTGGGACACTCCGCTTTAAGTATTGTGTGTCCCCAGGGGGAAGAAGGAAAGCTATGGCTGCCATTTTACTATGATGATGTTCCAGAAGAAGAGGACTTAACTATATTTGAATAAATGTAGACTGTTGCACCGTACTTAAAAAAAAATAACACATCCTCTGAAAATAAGCCCTAGGGTGTCTTCTTGAGGAAAACTAAATAAAAGACACTGCCTTATTTTCGGGGAAACACAGTATATGTGACAATAATGAAGTGCAGGGTTGAGGCTCAAAGGGAACTGGAAAAAGGGTAAGGGAGTTTGGGCCCAATTGGGAATGTTTTGAGATAGAAAGTATTTTTAGAGGTTCTACAGGACAAGTGGGAAGCCTATGATAAATGGGACAGGGAAGGACAGAATGGCCTTTGGTTTAAGAAACACAAAATATTTTTAGGTTTAATTTCCTATAAATTAAGAGCAGAATTTAGCCTCTTTTGGGCAGCTGTATGTCTGGCTGAATAAGAGAATCAGCATACCATCCACCAGTTTACTGGGGGAAAGGATGCCTGGGGCCCAGTTGAGAGCAAACAGGATATGGGTACAGAACACTGGAAGGCAGATGGAATCTTAGGAAGCCATGATGCTCAGTGGATAAAGAGAACTTCATGAGATTCAGAAACTTGGGACAATGAATTGTTTTCAACTGGTTCTCCATATTCATGCACATGATGCCCTGAAAGAGATGAAGCTTAAAGAGTACTGAGGTGGTATCATGTGAGTCCTGGACAGACAATAAAGTTTGGCTTGTGTTCTTTTTAGATGCAAGTGAGTCTAAGGTGAAAGTATCTACAAAATAGTTAGAAACCCAGAGTTGGATCTCAGGAAAACTAAGAATTAAAATTGGAAGATTAAAAGTTGAAAGTTAAATTGAGAGTGGTTAGGTTACCAAGAGAGGTAAAGTAAAGAGGCAAGACAAGTTGAAGGAAGAAAAGGCAATGAATTAGAGGAGTGGCCAGATTGGAAGAAGAAAAATGGTAGTAACCGTCTAACAGAAGCTGGGAATAGTTTCAAAAGGAGTAAGATCTAGTGTTTAGTAGCACAATAGGGCAATTAGAGTTAACAATAATTGATTTTATATTTGAAAATAACAAGAGTAGATTTAGAATGTTCCCAACACACAAAAAAATGATAAATGTTAGAGGTGATGGATAGCCAAATTACTCAGATTTGGTGACCTACACATTATATGCTTGTATCAAAATATAACATGTACCCTATAAATATATATAACTATTCTGTATCCATAAACAATTTTTTTTCATAAACAATTTTTAAATAATTTTAAAAACTGTCTACTTCACATGGCTGTCAGAAAAATTAAAGAAATTCATAAAAAAAAACAAGTGAATGACAACAATGTCAAATACTCTAAAGAAGTCACAGAGGAGGAAGAATTGAAAAAAATTAAAAAATGTACTTGACAGATAATCTTCAAAGGGGCTATGTTATTTGGTAAGTAGGGATGATCCTCAAAGAGAAAAGAAATGAATCACAAATTAAGCTGGTAACAAACACTTTTTATAAATGGCAATGGTAAAAAGGAAGACAAAAAATAAGGAAAATAGCCACTAAGGACAAATCTCCCTCAGAGGAAAAAGAAAATACCTAAAAATGTTTGTAAGCAGAAGGAACCAGATATAGAGAAAGAGATCAAACTGCAAGTTAATTGAATAAGGGCATGGTAAATTGGAAGACATAAGAAACAGGATTAACTTGAGAGAAATGGGACATGTTTGATTTCTGAGATTAATGTCTGGATGAAAGTAAGATGAAAAATACTTGGAGTTGAAAAATTCATTTTAGGAAAAGACAAAAAGGATGACCTCCAAGTGAGTTATTCGTAGGGTAGGTTAACAACTGAGAAATTAAATATCTTTAAGGCACTGAAAAAGGATTAAATAAATGCATGAGGTAAAAGCATAGTTCTTTAAGAAGAAAAAGATAGGATCCAATCAAAGTTAAAGATCATGAATTCGGAGTTGATTGAATCAAAGCATTGTTTGGTAGTCTAGAACTGAGCATAGAGAAAGTTCAAAGGGGGAAGAGATTCAAATCTAACATTGGCTTTTATGCCGGGTAAGCTTAACTAAATAAAGGTGTAAAGGATTCTAGGACAAAAAATAAAGCTGTAATCAAAAACAGATGACCACAAGGGTGAGGCTAACTACAAAGCTAGATAGATGAGTGCTGCAAGACTGGAAAAAGAATTCAAAGCAATGAACATCATGGGTAATAGGAATCCAATAAGAATGAACAGGGTATAGGATGAGATTAAAATTGTACTGTGGTAAGGAGAGTACAAGAACTTAAAAGTTGATGTGAAGTGCTGACACTAAAGAGGTCAAGTGCCATAAGATTAGGCTAATCACCAAAGAGGGGAATACACTATAAGAGAAGTGCTGAAACCACCAAGAAAGGTGAGAGAATCCTTAAAAAGCAGCAGCTAGTAATGACCAAAAAGTAACATAGAGGTCATGTTATGATCTGTAAGAAACTCACTTAAATTATATATTAATTCTAATTTTTTAAAAAATGAAACAACCTCATTTTGAATAAGCAACCTATCATGTTTATATCTGAACCTCTGATTATTTTTTAAAAATCAAAATCCATCCTGAAGAATTAAGGTATTGCCCTACTAATGAGATCCAAATGACAGTAATGTGGGCTCTGAAGGCTTTCCTTGGCATAGTATAAATGACAAGTACTCAAATAATCTAAGTTGAAGGAATTAATGAAAAAGAATTCCAAAAGTGGCATCATGACTACAATAGTCTCTCATTTTCACTGAATGGAAATAAGTATAGATGACCTGACAAATGGGATGGATGGAAGGATGAACAGATAGATGGAATACAGAGAAGACAGAAAGAGAAACAAATCCAATAAAGTTCCTAACATCACTGAAAATTCTAAAGTCTCTCGAAGTGACTGCTTTAAAGAAGATGACACTCATGAGATTACATGTATTTATTTAGTAAATATATTTAAAACATTTAAAATTTTGTTTGAAAAATAACCATTTTTGAAACACCTATAGGAAAAACTCCCATAGTAAAACTACTTCTCTAACAAACCTATCCTACTTTTATTAGTTTACTATTCTTACAATTTTAGTCCAGTAATTTCTTAATTACTATGCTGAAAAACAGGACCAGGGAATGTCCTAGAAGTTCCTTATTGCTAGACCCTTTTAGTTCCTTGAAGAGAAACAGTGGCCTCTAATAGGATGACTTTGTTTTCAAAACAAAAACTTGCTGAACTATAATTTTAATTGGCAATGTACATGTTTAACTCATCTTACCTCATCATATGATTTACATAGGCTTTGCTACAGCTAGTGTTGTATCTGCAAAAACTACAGTGGACATATGTAGGAAAGTGGTTTGCAAAATCTTTTATTTCGGAACAACACTCAATGCACTTGTGAACGCCCCGACGATACCTTATGGAGACATAAAAAAAATGATGAAAATATATTTTAAGACAAAAATTATAAGGGAGAGCCTTATTAATGTTCTGTTAACTAAAGTATAAAGTTTTTATATATAGGTTTAAATTAATATTGTATATCAGGAATAAAGATTACCTTAAATTCCTCAATGCTGTATTGACTTTACTCTTTTTATTGCTATTAGCCAATGTACTTTGTTTCTTTTGCATATTGGAGATTTTTGATTTGTATTTAGGTTTATTTCCATTGGGCTTACTTGCACTAGGTTTACTTGGACTGGATTTGGTTGTATTAGGTTTACTTGTATCAGATTTTGTGGGGCTTTTAGTAGTTATATTTTTAGTCCTTGGAGGTGAAAGCTGAAGGGTTGAAGAGCTTGCACTATTGGAAGGTGTAGGTGAAGTTCCTGATTGAAGAGGTCCAACTGAAGCTCGAATAGTCACCTTAAAAAATGAAGAGAACAATTGCTTTAAAAAATTAATCACTACATTGATATTAAAACATCACTGTACTATAAGAAAATTAAACATCAAGTATTTTGAAAAGAGCACATAGAGACAATAATCAGGTCAGTCTTCCATTTATTCTAAATATTCAAACCAACTAAATGATATTAAACTTGATATTTATTCACTTATGATAATATATTTTTATATTGATATCAGTCATATGTTAACACAGTTATTTATGGATAATTAGAAGTTAATGCAAATTAAGAGTATCAAAACAGCAAATTCCATAGCTATTTTAATGCTCTGATATAACTAAAAAAAATTCACACAGAGCTCAAAATTTAAATCTGAAATCCTGAAAAATAACTTCAGAAAGGCCCATATTACCCTTTGACAACTATAAAACAAACAGATCTACAGTAGTAAACGTGACCTCCTCTTTTCAGGGGCTCATTGCCCAGGACACATGCTTACAAATGTTATAGAAGAGATTACATCAATTCATTATACTACTCAGAGAATTTATTTACATCATTCTTAAAGGGAACTAATATAAAGTTTATCATTTAGTAATCAGAAAGAGAAAAATGCTCAATTATATCTGTTAGCCAACCAACATTCTCATTAATCACTTGACTATAGCCTCCACATGTATTTGAGGAACAGCCTATGAGGAAGTCCTATAAAATACATGTGCTTAGGTATCATACAAAAGCACTGGACCAGGAATCAAAAGACCTTCCTAGCCATGTGACCTTGGATAAGTAACTTATCTTTTTAAGCCTCTTCACATCTATAATATGAAGTTTTTAACTGATGTTTATAATAGGAGGCAGTACGTGCCTCGTTAACCTCACTGGATTGTTGTATGGATTAAATAACAATGTATGAAAAGAACACTGAAAGCCTAATTCTAAAGTGCTATGAAAAACATTTAGTATCATTATCATTAATATTATTAATAAGGGAAGAAATGATAGAGGACTGCACTGCTTACATTAGTTTTCTGCATGTCTAGTCCCAGCATGAAATGAATGGATTGCAGGGAAGGATGCTGGATAGCTTCTCTTGCTCTAGGTCTTCAGAGCATGGCTTTATATTGTTTTAGTTAATTCAAATAACAGACATACCCACATTCAAAGGTAAGTACCCAAAGCCAAAAATAAATGTTTTGGGGATTATTTCACTTTGGATTATCCATGCCTCTGTTTCCCTCCACTGGAGCAAATATTCAAGAGCTGACTGTATATAAAGAAGTCAGAGAAAACAGATGTATATAAGGCAAAAAGGGAAAAGTAAATTATAATCATCAGTATGCAGTCAGACATGTGTTTGCTCACTTAAAACACAATGCTATTCAGCAGCAGAACTTGCTTCTCTGAGAGTAGACTCAGAAATAACTTCAACAAACATCTGAGAACCTATGGCATTCAAGACACTATAAAAGATGCTGGAGATCACAAAGATAAATAAAACATGATTACTGATTTCAAGCATCTTATAGTTTAGCACCTAAAACCAACCTAGACACTGCCAACTGGAATAGCTAAGAAATACCCTTTATAATATTGAAACAACCCACTGACCTAGGAACAGTTAATCTAGTTGCACTTTTTATAAAGTAACACTATTCCAACATAACACCCATCTCTGAACTCCAAACAATGGTTATAAGTTTTTCTTTCTAGACATAATAATAAAAACTAAAGTCTTAATAAAACTCCAAAGTCATTTTTAAAAATATTATATTCAATAAATAAAGACAGGCCGGAGTTAATTTCTATTATCATACAAAATGTTAAAATATAGCATATTTGAACTCACTTTTGTTCCAGGAGGCAATCCTTCTAATTCTTTAGGTTTTATAAATGTTCGATGATGCTGAGTCTTATGATCCATTTTCTCCTTGCATGTCAAAAACTGTAGTCTGCATTTTGTACAACGATGTATTCCTTTTTTCTGTTTAGAAAACAGAAAAAAGGAGGAAACATAATTTCTACAACCACAAATCCTGTGTCCTGAAACTGCTCTAACTTAATTTTAATGAAACCTAAATAATGTAAAAATTGGCAGTTTACCATCTCTTATCATAAATAATACCAAAATATCATTTCATTTTTTAAAACATTCCTTGCATTAGTATTTGGGTTTTAAAAATGTTTGTTACTATATAGGAATCAAATATGTAAGTTCTATTAATAGGTTCTAATGAAAATTCTATTGTGTGAAAGCTCTTTTAATTATAAATTTGAAGTACTTCAACACATGATACTATTAAAATGAGATATACTGTTTTTATTCTAGAAAAAGTAAATTATTTTTAATTTTTGCTCTTTCTAGACATAAATTAAACTCTCTAAAAGAAATTAATCAAACCATACTTTTCAAAGAAGGTTATGTTATAGAAATGATTGTATAAACCAGTGCTGTCCAATAAACCTTTCTGCAATTATGAAATGTTCTAGAGATGTACGGTCCAACATGGTAGCCATGAGCCATACGTGGTTATTGAGCATGTGAAATGTGGTTAGTGTGACTGAAGAACTGAATTTTTAATTTTGTTTGATTTTAATTAATTTAAACAGGCACATGTGAGTAGTGGCCACTAAACTGGGCAATGTAGATATGGAGGCATACAACAGAACTGATTCTAATCTACTTATTGGTTGAAAACACCTTGACCAAGTGTCTCCACAAACCCAGTCCTGTCATTATTCTAAAGATGGGAAAAGGAACCCAAGAGAAATCTAAGTCACTTCCCCAATGTTAGTGACACTGTTAGACTCCTGATCCAATATTCTTTCTACTATGTAATATCAACTACAATCTTTACTCTCATTAATATAAAAATGTATTTAATATATATGTATACAAATACAAATTTAAAATAATATATAATTACAAAGGAATGTTTCCTCCAAAGTTATATCTCTGCCAGATATATCATTTCCATTTAAATACAACCAATTATTTATAAAATGCAAATGAGGTAATGTATAGCAAAGTGCCTAGCACAGTTACTGGAACACAGCAAGCATTTCATAAGTAAAGTTCTTTGCAAAGTTCAAAGCAATATATAAACATAATGTATTACGTCTTAAAACTATTTTAGAAGTGTGATACATTGGATTATATCATAGGTACAGGCAACTTAAACAAATTCACTTATATGTGGCTCAAGGAAGAGGAGGGGGAAAAGGGAGAAAACCTTTTGGCCAAGAAACAAATACCAAAACAACAGAACAGGAAGAAAGGTCACCAGAGTTCAGTTCCCAGAAATCTTGTCTCTATCTATAATCACCCCCTAGGTTACATCATCCAGTTTCATGGTTTTAAATACCATCTATCCAACTGCCTACTTGACATCACTACTTGATGTCTAATATACTTCTCAAATTAGTATGAACAAAACTGAACTCTAAATCTCCTATCTCCTGGCCCCCCTCCTCCAAAAAAATCTGTTTCTTCTTCAGTCTTCCTCATATCTTAGTATAGGAAAAACTCCATTCCTGCAGCTACTCAAGACAAAAAACTGGGTCTCTCTCTTTTAACTATTCCATATCCAACACATTAATAAAACCTATCAGCATTACCTTCAAAAACATTCATAATCTTTCCATTTCTCATTACCTCCATCCATTGCTACCGTACTGGTCCAAACCACTTACCTGAACTGCTGTAAAAATTCTTCTATCTTCTACCCCTCATGTCCTTTCCTCCCTATGGTCTATTCTCCCTATAGCTGCCAGTAATCTTAAAAACATGTCAGATCTTTCACATGCTTAAAACCTCACAGTGGCTTTCCAAAGTCCTGACTGTGGCTTACAAGGACCCACATGAATTGGCCTGCATTCTATTGCTACAACCTCATCCCCTACTACTTTTTCTCCAGTTAGTTAACTATGCTCCAGCCACACTGGCTTCCTTGCTGTTCTTTGTGCACCCCAGGTACACACTTACTTCACTGCCTGCATAATGTTACCTCTCCCAAATATCCACATGGCTTATTCCTTTATTTTCTTCAGAGAGGCCCCTTTTTGATCACCTGTATATAAAATAGCAACCACACCACCACTCCTATCACCTCCCCAATCCCTGGCACTCCTTATCCTCCACATTTTCTTCCCACAGAACTTATCACCAGCATATACATTCAAACATCCACATCCACAAATTTATTATCTTTCTCTATTATATTGTAAATTCTAAAGGACACAAGCTATGTTCTGTTCACTGTTATATAACACTTAAAACAGCCCCTGGCACAGAGTAAGGCACTGAATTAACATTTTTTAAATAAATGAATAGTGAGGCAGAAAGGAAGAAATATGAGCAGCAGGTACAATTTAAATACTTCAAATGTCTACCATTCCATTTAATAAACATTTGTCCAGAATCCTAAGATGGAATACATTATTCTTCCTCAGTTGGACTCAAGCTTTTTTTGTTTGTTTGTTTTGTTTTTTTGAGACAGTCTTGCTCTGTCACCCCAGATAGAGTGCAGTGGAGTCGTCATAGCTCACTGGACCTCAAACTCCTAGGCTCAAGCAATCTTCCCACCTCAGCCTCCTGAGTAGCTGGGACTATGGGCGTTCACTGGTATGCCCCACAACTTTTTTTTTTCTATTTTTTTTTTTTTAGTAGAAATGGAGTCTCGCACTCTTGTTCAGGTTGGTCTCGAACTGAGCTCAAGCAATCCTCCCTGCCTCAGCCTCCTAGGGTGCTAGGATTATAGGCAAAAGCTACCATGCCTGGCCTGGATTCAAGTTTTATATTAATGTATACTTTCTTATGTATGTATGCATTTCAATGCACTAAGAGTGATGAAGTTATGGTACATTTTTTAAAAAACAATATGTTCAATCAAAGAAATAGTGATCTAATCCAAGCACAAAGAAATAATTATATTACCTTTTTTTTTTTTTTTTACAAGCATACTATTATGGTTTCAGAGACATAAGAGAATTAAAGGTAATTCTTACTATATGTAAGTTCTATGTTTGGACCTAATGTCAATGTGAAATCCAACTCTGTCATAAAGAATAAAATCTTGAGCTCTAAAGTCAAATGTTTTTGCCCTTTATTAGACAATGTGACAACAGACAAATTACTTTCTCTAAAGCTCTGTTTCCTCATCTATAAAACAGAAATAATAGCATATATATGGGGGTTGAGAAGATTAAACAAGATAATGTATGTAAAGCACCAGCTGCTGCCATAAGGTAAGTCATCAGTATATGTTAACTGCTTGTTTTATTAAAGATCTAATGAGCATGTTTAACACATCTGAAATTGCTTTATTTCTCAAAAGTCCTACAAACTGGTTGTTAGCTCTAAAATCACCCAAGAAACTATAATATAATCTTTAAAAGAAAAAAAAGTTACAATAGAAACCTTCAAAGACAATAAAATGAGGCATAGCGTCAATAATTCTTTTGTCTAATACTATACTAATAATGTCCTCGTAATTACAACTCTATAATTCCACTCAGATATGGTTTTCTAGTCTTTTGTAAATAATTACACAAATTGTAAATATCTTAAAGGATGCCTGATGATCCTTCTTATTAACAAATTGTCCCCTCTTTACTGCTGGCTATCTAGCTCCTAAGTGCTCCAAACAAACAAAAGAGAAAATTGGGCACCCATGGCACGTTAAAACATATAATTCAATGTATGAAGACTTGATTATAAATCATATAGCCCACGTAATGGGCCCACAAATCTCTATCACAGTTATTATTCTTCCCATATCTATAACTCACTCTATAATAGCTTAATAAAGCATCTGAGAAAGATTATGTTAAAAGCTCCATAATGAAATAGAGCTACTATTTTATATCTCATTCTCCTTCTCAAAATTAAAGTCTAAAGATGAAATAAAGTATCAAGAACAGTGTTTCCCAAACTCTGTTCATCAAGAAATGTTAATAGGTATTGTGCAAATAAAGTGGTTAATGGTCAAATAAGTTTGGGAAATGATACATACTATATCCTTCGCTTGGAGAAATACAATGTCCATTAGCATATTACTCTGAGAAGTCCTGTTTTAAAAAACAAACAAAACTGTTCAATTTTGTAAATCCAGGCATTTACCAAATTTATTTACTGGTGACAATTTTTGAGGAAACACCTATTAACACATGATGGAACACTGTTGGGAAACCCTAGAATAGAAGGTATTGCTAAAACTCAAGGATAGGTGGTTGGGTGATAACATAGGTGATCTCAAATGCATTTGGAAAATCTTTTATGATCTTCCCCAATTAAAAAACACAAGTTGATTTCATGATTAGCTAATAACCAAAACTGACAAACTGAGCACCAATGCTGAACAAACTGGTGTGTCAATTTAACCAATAATTAAAAATTTATTGAGCTTTTTAGTGAGTTGGTAAAACCTGATTACACAATCAAATTTGGTAAATCCATTGGCTTTTGATTTTGGCAAGGCACCGTTATTCTTTCAAGCACTAAAGAATAGAATTAGTGTTGCATCAGTTTTAAGCCCAAACAAAGAATGGGTTAATAGCTTCAGGAAATGAACCAATGAGCATAACACTGTACCCTTCAAGGGAAGAGTACAAATACTAATACTGGATCCCAAAAATTATATAGCAGAACTGCCACAAGTTATCCAGGAAACAAATTATGATCTAAATATAGTTCTCTGGAGCGTTCATATATGGACCAGTAAGTGTCAATGATTACATGTCTTCTCATAATAAGGGGGTTAAAAAGTGGAAATAAAGTTTGAAGAGAAAAAGGAAAACAAGATTCTAAGTCTTCAATCTTTTCTTTGTCCCTTCAAATTCATCTTTTTCCCTCCTCCTGATAAGTCCCTTCAAAATCATTCCCATATCTATTCTTAGACCCTAAAATATCCAATTTTTTGGATATCCCACTCACCTTCTCTTTTTTCTCTCAAAACTAGGTTTCCTATTTCTAGTTCTCTTTCAGAATTTCCATAATTTATTAGCCACACCATCACCAAAGAAATAAGGAAAAGAAATGGAAATTTCACAAGTAATTCAACATAAAGTATAAGTTAATCACACTATTTGAAACATCTCTGCTTCCCTTGCAGACCAAATCTAAATTATAATCAGTCTTTTAGCTAAGACAATATGAACAAGAACTAGTAAATCTCACCTGATGCTTCATATAATGATGCATATAGGGTGTTGCAATCTTAATAACTTTGAGGCAAAATGGACATAGCAAGTTCTTAGTGTTTTCATGGGATGTTCTAAAATGAGTTTCAACATCAGAAAATGATGAAGATCTAAAATTGCAAACCTAGAAATAGAAAGAAGGCTTAGTTTAACTTGAAAATTTATAACTGATAAACAATTACAAAGTAACAATGATGGATCATTTGTTTAGAAAAACACTACGTACTACCAATCCAGCTCTAATGCCTATACAACCAAGAATCCCACTAATGCAAGTACCAAAAGATAATCTTTGAGACATAAAAGTTATCTTTCAAATTTAAGGTGATGCTTCCCAAAACATAACTAAATTCCTTTCTTTTTATCAGATCTTTTAATCTGTCACCTCCCCTCTTGATTTGAATTTTCAAGTTCTGGTATTTCTTGTTCTATAAAATGTTTTTTTTCTGCTTCATAAAATAGCATTCTCAAAGCATTTGTTAGGGTTCTTTGAAACTAATTGCATTTTGTATTTCTCTTGTATGCCCACATTTTTTCCTATTTAATAAAATAAGTCCATATGTTTGTCTTTCTCTAAGAGGGCCTCTTTGTCCAGTACAGGGGAAGGCAAAGAATGACCTGTAGACCAAATCCAGCTTACTGCCTACCCCTCATATAATGCATGAATTATGCCAACGGACTTTCTACTAATAAATTATTTACAATAAGGACTTTAATTTTAGTAACCAATTTCATCTAAATGGTTAAACTAATATAATACATAAAAAGTATATGAAATTCATATTTCAGCATCTATAAAGTTTTATTGGAACACAGACACTCCCATTCACTCATTATCTATGGCTGCTTTCATGCTACAATAGCAGAGCTGACTAGTTGCAACAGAGATCACATAACCCTCAAAGCCTTAAATATTTACTATTTGGCCCTTTATAGAAAAAAATTTGATTCCTGGTCTAATAGGCTTAAATCTTATAACCGAAACAACAAACAGAAACAAACCAAACACTAAAGAAAACAATAAATCGTGTGTGTACCTGGCAGATATATGGCATTTCACCAGGTTTATGATTGTCCTTCATATGTTGTAAAAGAACATGTTCTGTTTCAAATGATAACTCACAGATTTTACAAATGGCTAAAAGGAAAAGGGAAGAGGTATGACAACATTTTAAGATATAAACATAAAAATTATATTTTATACATCTTTATCAACAACAATAATGGTAGTAGTGGTGGTGGTGCTGGTGAACAGTTATATAGTTTAACTGTGTGGCAAGCAGAGTTCTAAGTAACTTTACCTACATTAACTAAGTTCTTATAGCAACACTATAAGAAAGGTATTTCTATGATCCCCATTATTCGAGTACTAAGTAATGTGGTTGAAATCATGTAGCTGTATTAAGAGGCAGATCTGGGATTTGGATCTGAGCTGTCCAGCTCCAAAATCTGTGATTTTAACTACAATTGTAATTAGTTTTCTTATTAAAGTTTAAATGAAGGATACTGGGATAGTATTTGAAAATGATGATGGGAGGCTCCTAATTTAGTTCCCCAAATATAAAGCACAGGTTATGCCAAGGCAGCTTTCATAATGAATTATTTGCAAGAGGTACTTTAATCTTAGTAACTAACTTTATATAGAAGTTAAAAGTTAACTTTTTCAATTTCACCCTCAAATTCCAAAGTCTATTTCATATTCTTATTTTTCTAACAGACTTCAAAGGTTTTCTCACATTTTATATCATCAAAATTAATAATATTCAATATTTAAATGAAATTGTAACTCACTAGAAAATTCAACAGGGGTATGTGTACTTTCAATGTGACACTGCAGCTGAAATGGTGTGGGAAACTGGCGGTAGCAGTGCTGGCAGGTGGTGTGGTTTTCCCAGCTCTCACTGCTCTGCTTCTCAAGTTCCAAATGGTGTTTCATGTGGTTCATAAACCTATAAATGATTGTCAACAGGTGCAAAAATTCAGATTTAAAAACAAAAAGGAAATCTCACAAATAAGTATTTGAACCTAAATCTTAAAAATACAGGTATTACTCAAAATAAAATCTCAAAATTCTTAAAGTCCTCCAGAAAAGTATCCACTTCAAATAATCACATATGGCTAAATAAGCTTCTTTTCATCTTTGTTTTAAAATAAGTCATTAATGTAATTAATCTGAAACATCACTAATTTAATATAACTTTTAATCATTATTTCAGATCATTAAAAATTTTTTTAGATAAAAAAGGAGGCTTCTTTTGTACCTGAAATACTATTTACATTCTAAAATAGAATACTGAAAGGAAAGAAACTCTACCACTAGAAGCAGCTACAGAGCCATGAGAGAAATCTTTTAAGGCCCTAAAGATACACAATAGATTCCAGCTGCTTAAAAGACAAATTACTGGTATTTTTACTTGTGTCTTTGTTTCTAAATGCATGTAATAGCAATTTTAATGCCTACAATTACAAGAACCTTTTGTTTTATTTAATGATACTGGTTTACTGTTAGCAGAGACTGTTCATTTTAACTTGCAGACTATGCCCTTTGCAGGCAACGTCCATTTTTCAGTTTTACATTCTGCTATTTCAGCTTCCCTAAAAGGCTTCTTATGAGCAGGAACTATGACCTTCAATGGCAGAGACTGCAATATAAATAGGAATCCCTATTTAAAAGAGCTTACTGAAGAAGCTTTTTGCTGAATTTGAGAGTAAAGTTATTCAATCAAAACAATTTTCAGACTAGGTCAACTATTAATAATTACTCACTGTGAGTCCCTAAAGTAAATAATCTTGAAACTAAGTGATAATGTCATCAATCTGGATAGCAATCATTATCAAGGTTATAATATATATCTCTTTTTCACATATTTACAATACTAATTTACTTTAGGATGGGGTTATGGTACACCTTGAAATATCTTTTCCTCCTTTAGTGTTAACACCAGCTCTATAAACACCTATAGAAAATCCAGTATTGGTTATATATTTACATAAAGATCATGAGACGTTAAACTTTAAGCTCACAACTTTCAGCACTTAAAGTCCATCAGTATAAAATAATCCTTTAAACAGCTAGCTTCTGTCAATTATTAGATGAGCCCCCATCAGGAGCTCACATTTCTCAAACCAACAGATGGAAATGAAGGAAACAAAAAAAAGAAAGCAAACTTCAGCTGGGCATGGGGGCTCAGGACTGTAATCCTATAATCCTAGAACTATAGGAGGCCGAGGTGGGAGCACTACTTGAGCTCAGGAGTTTGAGATCAGCCTGGGCAAGAGTGAGACCCCATTTCTACTAAAAATAGAAAAAACTTGCAGGGGTGGGGGGAGGCACATGCCTATAGTCCCAGCTACTCAGGAGGCTGAGACAGGAGGATCACCTGAGCCCAGAATTTGAGGTTGCAGTGAGCTATGATGATGCCACTGCATTCTAGCCTGGGTGACAAAGCAAGACTCTGTCTCCAAAAAAACAAGCAAACTTCTTACAAAGATGTTCAGAGAACAAAAGAGACCTAACTATTTTTAGTGACAGTTGATGTAGAAAAATAAAAAATGCCATATCACAACATGTTGATAGGGCACAGAGAAGAAATATTGAGTTATCAATTTCTTACCATTCCCTAAAAACATCCAGTTGCCTTCCCAATTTTATTATTAAGGTAAAATATTATACAATATGTTTGATTTCTTTGGTCATGAGGTATTTACCATTAAGGCACACTTATTAAATAATCAATATTTTTAAAATGCACAATTCCTGAATGTTATCCCAAATGCAGTTTGCTTAAAATGTCAATATATTCTGATAATCCAGACATATGTAACTGTCTTTGGAAATTAACAGCAAAGGAATTTTTCATTTTTCATGTTTGACATTAAATGAGTTAATCTTAAAGGACAAGCCAAATAACTATGGCTGAAATAACTTATAATATCATCATATTTAAGAATAACAAAGAACTAAGTCAGTGAACCACATTTCTATGCATTTTACCATAATTACTGACACAATTTTCTGATGTATTTTATTATTAAAGTGGTAAAAATATAGGAATAAATGATAGAATTCTTTCTATTTCAGTGTTTTATCTCAAAGCATAATTTTCTTTCTGTTAAACTAGTGGGACAGAAAGGGACTCACTTTGAGTCCCTAAAGTAGATACAGGAGTCAAACCCTAAAATATAAGAAAGGACAAAAGCTTTTCAACAAGAAAATCTGCCTTTCTTCTTAGTAGAAAATGTTAAAATCACTTATGTAGAATGGCACAGAAAAATGCAAGATAGAAATATAACATTTATATCTGTAGCATTCCAATTTTCAAACAGAAATAAAAATAAGTATTTACATACCTAATATTATTTTTTAGAACTTTCAAGCAACTGAAGCATTTAAATGTTGTGTGAGTCTTCTGTTCTTCCTGGACATCTCCTTCATGTTTTCCATAATAGAAGTCATTAACTAACATGATCAATTTTCCTTTCTCTGAATCAATAGTTGTATTTTTATTTGCTGTACTTGAAAATTCTGTTTTAGCCAGTCCCAAAAAGTTATTTATCATGTCTGGACAACAATACTGAAAGAGAAAAAAATAGAAGCCTTATTTATTCTTTAAAAAAATATGCACCAAAAAGTCAATCTGTGCTTACAGATAATGTAAAATTATGTTTGGTTATATATCTGGAAAAACAGTCACCAAAAATTTGTGGTACATATACATATTTTATTTATCTTAATAAACAGAAAAAAAACCCTAAAACCAAGGGTTAGGTATAGATCAAAAAGCTTTTCTCTTGAAATTTAACTTTTCAGTTGTAAATATCTAATAAATATTTGTTCCTTTACCAAATATTATTCGTTTCATATCTGTGTCAAGATATACAGAAAGGAAATGTAATTTTATATGCCTTGATGTATGTATATTTACTTATCAAATGATACACAAAATTTCATAAAGGCTGATTGGAACTGGACTTTGAGCATAGCTAGCCTGCCATTCCACAGATATAAGGTACTAGAAAATGTATAGGACATAAAGAAAGAAGCATCAGTTGCATCTTGAAAATTTCAACAGTTACATCCTGAAATCTAGAATGCTTAAATATTGGAAGGGAAAATTTACCTCCTTATGAGTAAAATCAAGATGTCATAAACTAGTTCTAAGATGGAATACTTTCCTATATGAGCTTTTTAAAAAATATGATATAACTATTTTATTTATTATACATAATTTTCAGTTGTAGGATTTCTCTAGGACAGTTTTCTCAGTGGGCAATCCGAGGAAGACCTGCATTAGAAAAGCCAGAAGTGCTTGTTTAAAATGCTAATTCCTGAGCTCCACTTCAGACCAACTAAACCATAATGGTTTAGTTGTAGCCCTAGAGGTAGGGCCCACAAATCTATATATTTTTTAAACAAGCCACCCAGCTATTTCTTTTATATAAAAATTTAAATGCTTCCTGTTTCATTTGTTAAATTAGTGACAACATAAGAAAGTTTGAAAATCTAAACACAACTCTATTCCATTTCGAAGATAACAACATCCACTTCCTCTCCTGCCACATGTGAAACCTTAGATCATTGATGAAACATTTGTATTACCCGGAAAGCTGGGCCTTTGATCCAAGACAGACCTAAAACATTTCCTTCAAGCTTACATTATACTTACTTAGTTTCACTTGTCAATTTTGAAATCTACAAAAGCAAAACACCCAAAAGAAAAATCTAAAATAGATCTAAAGGGAGAGAAAAAAGAAAAGCTGAATGAAATGGACCCATAAGAAAAGTGACATAACTAACTTGTGTTTAGGAGTTAAGGCTGCACCCATAAGCAAAATTAGGATAAATACATTAGTTCTCAAATATATGATCCTTTTAGTCTTCCACTCAGAATAAATTACAGTTGAAATGAAACTATAACAAAAAGAGGGAGATGAGAAAGGTTTTGTTATATATGTTTCTAGATTCTTCTTGAAATATATATAATATTTAACAGCTCAAACTTAGGAAAGTCAGACTATTTCTTTTAGGGACTTTCTTTTAGGACTTTTACAAGGCTAAGGTCCTTCCAAAAAATACTACCTTTTATTTTAAAGATAAATGGAGAAAAGAATGGTTTAGAGTAACTCCACCAGCACTATTAGAAAAGTTAGTCAAAATTTATGTTTTATGACTAATGATGTATACCAGTGGCATAATTTTGATAAGGCAAAACTCTCCCCTTATCTGCAACCTTCCTATAGGAAAGATCTCAAATAACAATGGGGAAAAATTATAATGTGCAAAAACCACTAATACTGAAAAGTTTCCCTAATTAGAAATGTAGATAATCTTATGTCCCCAAAATTAAATTTGGCTTTCAGTAGAAGTTATTCTGATTCATATTTGGCACTTGATTCTTTTCTGAAATCTACAAAATAATCTATGGTAGAATGTGCCACAAAGTTATAGTCTCCAGAAATATCAAATTTGGAACATCTATGAAAGTAAAGATTATCCTAAAATTCCCATAAATTATGATACACACATAATAGATGACCAATTACTTGCTGCTCTTCTATTTTCTTTTTTTATTATTATTAACTTAGAAAATTAAGATAGGATCAGATTTTAAAATAAACACACAAACTTTGTTCACAGTACCTTTTAACCAATGTTTCAGATCATTATAAAAGAGGTAAACAATAAACACTGACAACCCAGAATGGACAATAAGATGTAGTAAATCAGAGTGGAGGAATTAGTAATTTAGAAGAAAGTAATGTATCCTACAGAAAATATCCAAACTACAAATAAGCAACTTAAGAAATGGGAACTAAGCTTAGATTTAAAGTGTTACAGGAGGATAGAATAAGCCATGGAGAGCATGGCTGAGCTATGGTCTAAGATCAACTGGTCATCTTTTATTCAGCTACTACTTGTGCCCTTTTGGTACTAGCCCTTCACTGCAACTCCTTCATTTATGCCTTATTTTCCTGGGTTAGCCATTCTGCAAATATTCAATACATACCTTTAATGCCATCTACTGTAGTTTGACAAATATCAGACACCATCTATATACCATTCTCATCTTTACTCCTTCCAGTACATAGACTACGTGTTATTGCTTTCTTAGCGCCCTAAAAATTTAGGTTGTATTTCTCAGAGCAAAGGAGGTGGGATGCTATTTTCAAATAGTCAAATAGGACTTCTCATTTGAATGTCCTACATCAGTCAACACTTTCCTCTTTTCCTCCTGGTATTCACCCAATAGCCCCAACAACCAAATTCTACTATTTGATTTTCATTGAAACTAAGAGCCAAATAAATCCATAGACTCCATAATATATGAAGGCACTAGCCAAAGCAGTCAACATTAGGCAGATGGCAGTTAGTTGCAAATAAATCAGAGAAGGCAAGGGTAACATATCCCAGAGAAGTCAATGGTAACAGATCTCAGAAAGTGTCAATAAAAATATACATCCTAAAGTTGAAAGACATATCCTGATGCATAAAGGTATATCCTTTGTTTGCAAAAACAGGTACAGTAGCTGGGGTAAGAAGGATGACAGCGAAGTACTCCAGACCTGGTCCAGTACAAAGAAGCAGCAAAGGTAATGCTACATAAGGAATCAGACACTCAAGTCATACTTAAAGGAAGCCTTCTGCCCAGTAAAGAGTTGTATAAACCAGCTAGCAGGCTGTGAGACTACCCTGGCAACCTAAGCTTCCTCCTAAAAGGAACCTTGTATAAAACAACTGGCCCAAGAAAATCCAGCTTATTTAACATGATAGGAACTCACATCTAAATAAAAAGACGTTATAAAAAAAGGAGACGGCAAATAACATGAAAATGTAAAATTCTAACAAAAACACCAGAAATATGATGCCATGCAGCCGATGCAGACGTAAACAGTAGCCAAAATTTTTGCCACAAATTTCAAAAACATAATGAAGCAAATGTCTCTATTTGGAAGACCACAAAGCAAAGTATAGTATCAGGGGTTACACTCGGGGAGCTGGAAGTAGGGATACACCAAATACAGTTTTGTACATGAATAAAAAATTGCATTTGAAATTTTTTAAAGCTCCCTTATTTTTTCTACTTTTTTGTAAAATGATGAAATTCAATAAAAATTTGTCAATCTCTAAAGTAGTGAGCAAGATCTTTTCCTAAGTTACTTCTTTACCATTGCATCCTTTTTCTCCTTCTTTTCCTTATGTAATCTACACTGCTTTTGTCTTTTCCCCCTTCCTGCCATTTATATTCCATACACAGAATATAGACTATCTTTACATAGATATAGAGTACTGTAACATCTACCAAAATATTTTAAGTGTTACCTAAACGTTACACTTCATTAGTACTTTGAAAATTTCTTATAACCTAAATTCAAGAGCCTTCTATTCCAATACAAAGGGCAAATTTTAACAATTATATGAACTATATTCTGGAACGAGTTAAAACAATTATTTCATATGAAATGCTCCACCCTCTGGAGTTTAGGTGTGATTATTGAAAATTAAAATCTAAAACTCAGATTTTCATTGTTTAATGTCATATGCACATGTTAACATGGACATAAAAATAAGATAACAGAATGTTTAAGTTATATGAAAGATTAAACACATGATAAAATGCCTGTTTTACAAGAAGTCTGAAGAACATAATTATGTAAATAAAATATTCTGATTTATACAGTATTTTTGTTTAAAATTAGAATAAGTATACATTATAATGTATATGAACTTAATTTTTTAAATTTGATGATTCAGAAGGAATTTTAAAATCTTACATAGATATAATCATTATGAATGTAAATTTTTACCTAAGTTACATGAAAATACAAATATGAAAAAATTTCTAGATAAACCATTATTTACTGTAAATAAATTGTCAATATTTTTAGGGCTTTCTAAAGTTTTTAATAATTAAATTTTCAAAGTTTTACCTTCATGTGATTTTTCAAAGGATCCAGAAGATTGAAATGAATATTACACTTTGGACAAGCTCTTGGAAAAGGTGTTCCATTTTTAGATTGATTTGATGAGGAATTTGCACCTAAAGTAAATTCAGAACATTTATGATTCAAAAGTCATCACTTTTCAACCTTAAATAATAAAAGATAGTTTTTAAATTTATAACAATGTCTAAAATTCATGCATAAACACTATAATTTCTTTTGGTATAGCAGATTTCATATTTACCTTTTGGAGGCACCACCTGGGAAGATGTCACTGAAGGAGATTTTACTGAAGGGCATACAGCTAGGGAATTTGTTCCAGAAACACTTTCACTGGGCTTAGGCTTTTTTGGATTAACACTATTTACTTCAGAAGTAGAAGGACGTTTAGATAAAAACGAACTTTCATTCATACCTGCAGTGGTTTAAATAGTGAGAAGAATATTTTTAAACACTTTAGGATAGTACTTACATCTAAGTAAAAACACTCTGGAGCAAAATTAAAGGTAATATAATAGAATTATCATGTCATACAAATGATAATAATGATAAAATTTGATATGATCCAAATACAGGGGGTATGAAGAAAATACGCATACATTTATTATGGACTACATATATTCGAATAATTTATAAAATAATCTTTCTATGCAAGAAAATTCTAAATATAGTTTAAAATAAAGAAATATGTAAACAGCTATTATAAAAGATGCCAGATCAAAATATTCCAAACTGAAAAAAAGAAGACAGAGTATACTCTGAACTAAGTTCCTACAAATTATCTTTAGATACATAAATGTACTGAGTACATTAGGGCTTATCAAAGCAAAACAGCAACAAATTTTATTTGCTTCAAAAATTTAGAGCAACTCTTAAGATGCTTTTTTATTTAACAATTTAAAACATTGGAAAGGAAGTTAATTCTTTTGCCACTTAATAAACTAACAAGTCATATACTCGTGGCTTCATGTGATATAGCCCATTTATGCTATGTACAAAGTAGAAATAACTAATCTCAAATAATATTTTATTCGTTCATATGAAAGGGCACATAATAGAAGTAGTTAGTATAATGATTTTCACACTATGTTCCCCAGAGCTTAATGGCTTCATTTTAGGGAATATATTGAACATGTCTGACGGAGAAACTCTTTTCCATTGTATTTATTACACTTTCACATAAAAGACTAATCATTTATTCATTCCTAAAAATACTTTTCTATTTGAAAACTATTATCTTAAGGCTAAAGGATTTTAGCCTTATTTAATGTATTATCAAGATAAGTAGAGATATTCTGGCTATAACCAGGCCAGACAAAGTCCCTTCTAAAAATAACATACAACTATACTTTGTAAAAAAGATTCTAAAAATATACAGCATATTTTAATGCTTCTAACTGTATACCGAAAGTGGTAAAGTAAATATATTAGAAATATGCCAGGCTTTTTAAATCAGACAAGTTCAAATCCAGACATTGTCACTCACTAACTATGTATTCTTAGCTTATTTAATGAATTTCTCGGAGCCTCAGTTTCCTCTTTTGTAAATTAAGTTATAATATCTTCTTTTACAGAGCTGCTTTGAAGATCATATAAGACAATGTATTTAAAGCACCAAACAAAATATTTGGCACCACAGAAAGCAGTCAGTAATACATGATAACTATTATCATTAATAACAAAATATTTTATATCGTAACTTACTTTAGAAGATAAAAACATTATTCTAATAGATTCACCTGTCAACTTTTTAATAAACATCCCAGGAAAATAAGAGTATTATACTAGTTGGCTATTCTGTTTCACCCTTTGAGGTAACATAAAAAAATTTTTTTTCCATCTTCAAGGTACTTGATTACTGATAGATACACTGAGGGTAAATGGGATAGATTCTGTGTAATCATATTAGCATTCTTGTGAGACGTTTAGGTTACTTTAAAACCAATGAGTGCTAGTATTTTGAATTAAGCAACTGAACATACAACAGATTGAATGATAGAAAAAGATTGTTTTAATGAAAGAATTTTTTTACATAAGAAATCTCAAGGTTAAATAAAATCCTCTGTGTTAGTTTTAAATTCTGACTCTTTTTTTCTGTTGTGTTTGGCTTGTGCTATTCCCTACCCTCAACTGCTCTATCTCTGCCAACAGAAATCCTATTCTCATTCAAGATCAAGCTAAAATTATTCCTCTCTAAACCTCCATAATCTCCCTAGACAGTAGTCTCTTAATCATGCTACTGAACACACAGCACATATCATTCATAATTATCATCATAAAAACTGCTTGTTGTCAAGTCTTATAAAGCTTATAACACGCATTTTCACATTTCATTTATCTTACTTGGGCATCAAAAAATTCCTGAGTAAAGTGGAGCAAGAATTAAAATTGTATCTCCAAATGGTGGGTTCCAGGTATAGAGGATGAATGCATTATACAAAAAAAATTAAAATCTCCATTTTAATAATATGAGAAAACCCAAGTATATAGAGGTTAAGTGACTTAATAAAGACTACAAAAATCTTAAGAATAGAAGTTCAAACCTACATCTTACAAATCATCCTGCTTACTGCTCAGGTTAAAATCTTACTCTCTGCAGTATAAAACTCAGAGGGAAAGTAGGGTTCATTATTTGTCCTTACTCCCAAAAAGTTTCAAAAATTCAGACTTTTTCTATGAATGAAGTCCCTGTGCTTTGTAAAACCAGACCTAAGAAAACTATATTTTTCTCCCTGTTTCTTTTGGTTCTTACCTATTTTCTGAACTAGATTTTTACTAATTATGTAAGTGACACTCAGAGAAATGAATATCAAACAATGTATCATTAAAATGGAAAAACAGATTAAGCATTAGTATTACTATAAGAATAACTGGGGGAGGGTTTGGTAAATTCTCCACACTGATTTATTAATATAAAATCTAAAAATTCCAAAGAATCATGTCTATTAAGTCAAATATTTGAATACAAATAATTGCCTTGATTACAGGAAATTTCAATTAGATAAAATTCTTTTATAATACACTAATTTATTTTAGGTTGATGAAGAACTTTGTTATAAGCATACACTCAAAGAACTTTAAATCTCTTCTTCCACAGGTAAAGTTTATTAATTCTTCAATAGACAATTACTGAGTACTTACCATGTAAAAATCACTATTTCTTTATTGTAGCCACTTTATAACTGTACTTTATAATCATATAATCATATTTAATTATCATATTAAAATCATTTATTGGAATAAAAAACAGTAACCTAATTAAGAAATCAACTATAACCATATGCTTTTTCAGGCTAGTTGTCATAAAAACTAGCTAATACTTCTTTAACAGAGTATTTGGGGTACCTGAAGACTTCTGTAACTCATAGTAATTATTTTAAGATTTTTCAGCCCATGGTTAGCCCTACGTTAGAATACGCTCAAAGCTAGTTAAGCTACTTAATAGAAAGAAATAAAATATTCTATTATTAAATAAGATTTTTTATAAAAATCATACAAGAAAAGCATTCAAGAAGTATTAGTGTCATTTTACCTCATGATACATGAAAAACTTCACACAAGGGTATGGGGTTTCAAAAGCAATCAATCCTATATGCATATTCATCAAGTGTCTTTTCATAATTTTTATGAAAAAGTACTAAAACCAACCTGCTATAGAAAGTGTTGGTCCCCCTTGGTAATGTGATAATCCTGTATCTTGGGTCAAGTCAAACAGTAACTCTGAAGACTTATTACATACAACTCGTGATGAGTTCATTATATAACCCTGTTAAAATAGTTCAAAGGAAGAATATTACACTTATTCAACATAGTTATAATATATATTTATATATAATTATTTTATGTAATTATATATAATGTGTGTACTATATATTATATAATTTCATATAATTATATGAGAATTTATCTCATAAATTTTCATAAAGGTAAATTTAATTGTATGTCAATATTCTAAGGATAATCTTTGAAAATTCGATTATTGTTTTTTTTATTTCGGAGTATCACAGGGGTACAAATACTTTGGTTACATAACTTGCCTTTGCATCACCAGAGTCAGAGCTACAAACGTACTCATTCCCCAGACAGCACACACCACATCTGTCTGGTGTGAATTTACCCATTCCCTCCTCCGCCCTCCCACCTATCCCGATACCCTATGAATGTTACTCCCCATATGTGCACATAAGTGTTGATCGATTAGTACCAATTTAATGGTGAGTACAATGTGGTGTTTGTTTTTCCATTCTTGTGATCCTTCACTTAGAAGAATGGGCTCCAGCTCCATCCAGGAAAATATAATATGTAGTTCACCACTTTTTTATGGCTGAGTAGTACTCCATGGTATACATATACCACATTTTATTAATCCACTGATGTATTGGTGGGCACTTGGGTTGTTTCCACATCTTTGCAATTATGAATTGTGCTACTATAAACATTCTAATGCAGATGTCTTTTTAATAGAATATCTTTTTTTCCTTTGGGTAGATACCCAGTAGTGGGATTGCTGAGCCAAATGGTGGCTCTACTTTAAGTTCTTTGAGGTATCTCCATACTACTTTCCATAGAGGTTTTACTAGTTTGAGGTCCTACCAACAATGTATGAGTGTTCCTATCTCTCCACATCCACATCAACATTTGTTGTTTTGGGACTTTTTGATAAAAACGATTCTCACTGGAGTTAAGTAATATCTCATTGTGATTTTGATTTGCATTTCCCTGATGATTAGAGATGTTGAGCATTTTATATTTGTTTGTTGGCCATTAGTCTATCTTCTTTTGAAAAGTTTCTGGTCATGTCTTGCCTACTTTATAATGGCAAAATATATAATGGTTTGATTTTTTTCTTGCTGATTTTCCTGAGTTCTATATAGATTCCAGTTACCAGCCCTTTACTGGATGAATAGCATGCAAATATTTTCTATATTCTGTAGGCTGTCTTATCTTTTCTGATGATAGGCTGTCTTATCTTTTGTTGGCTGTGCAGAAGCTTTTTAGTTTTATAGAGTCCCATGTATTTATTTTTGTGGTTGCTGTGATTGCCTTTTGGGTCTTCTTCATAAATTCTTTGTCAATGTCTAATAGAGTTTTTCCAACATTTTCTTCTAGGGTTCTTATGGTTTCATGCCTTAGGTTTAAGTCTGTTATCCATCGTGAGTTGATGTTTTTGAAAGGTGAGCGGGTTGTGGATCCTGTTCCAGTCTTCTACATGTAGCTATCCAATCTTCCCAGCACCATTTATTTGTGAATAGGGATTCCTTTCCCCAGGGTATGTTTCCATCTGCTTTGTCAAAGATCACATGGCTATATGTGGATGGTTTTATATCCAGGTTCTCAGTCCTTTTCCACTGGTCTATGTCTCTGTTCTTTTGTCAAAGTTATGCTGTTTTAGTTACTATAGATTTGTAGTACAACTTGAAGTCTGGTAAATTGATGTCTCCCAATTTGTTCTTTTTGCTTAAGGTTCCTTTTGCTATATGGGATCTTCTTTGGTTCCATATGGACCATAAAATTATTTTTTCTAGATCTGTACAACATGATATTTGTATTTTTATAGAGATTGCATTGAATCTGTAGATTGTTTTGGGTAGTATAGAAATTGAAAGTATTCCTGCTCAGAACTGGAACCAGACAAAGTTGCCCTCTATCACCACTTCTATTCAACATAGTGCTGGAAGTCCTAGCCAGAGCAAATGGACAAGAGAAGGAAATCAAGGGCATCCAAACGGGGCAGAAGAAGTCAAACTGTCACTCTTCGCTGATAATATAATTTTTATCTATAAAAAGCCTATTTATTCATAAATAATTTAATTTCACAGAAATGTTTAGTTTACATGCCTTAAATGTCCAATCTTTATGTCTTTATATATATTTTAAGCACTTTAGCATTACATTTACATAAAACATAAATTCTTTATTTTATTCATTTATTTCAGGATATTATAAAAGTACAAACATTTTGATTACATGTTATGACTTTCCCACACCCAAACCGTGATTTGAGGCGTGCCGTTTCCTCCTACAATGCTCACTATGTCCATTAGTTGTGAGTTTACCCATTCCCACCCTCCAATCTCTGAAGAATATTACTATTGTGTGAGTACCATAGTGTTTATCAGTTAGTGCCAATTTGATAGCAAGTACATGTGGAGCCTATTCTTCCTTTCTTGTGATACTTCACTTCCGAGGATGGGCTCAAGCTCTATCCAGGATAATATAAGAGGTGCTAGATCACCGTCATTTCTTATAATTGAGTAATATTCCATTGTATACATATACCAAATTTTATTAATCCACTCATGAATTGATGGCCACATCCTTGCAATAGTGAATTGTGCTGCCATAAACATTTGGGTACAGATGTGTTTATTATAGAATGTCTTTTGTTCTTTTGGGTAGATGTCTAATAGTGCTATTGCTGAATCGAATGGCATTTCTATTTTTAGCTCTTTGAGGTATCTCCAAATTACTTTCCACAGAGTTTGCACTAATTTGCAGTCCCACCAGCAGTGTAACAGTGTTCCTGTCTCTCCACATCCTTGCCAGCATTTGTTGTTTTGGGATTTTTTTGATAAAGGCCAATCTCACTGGGGATAGGTGATATCTCATTGTGGTTTTGATTTGCATTTCTCTAATGATTAGAGATGTTCAGTATTTTTTTATATGTTTGCTGGCCATTATTCTGTCTTCTTTTGAAAGTTTCTGTTCATGTCCTTTGTCCACTTATTGATAGGGTTGTTTTTTTTCTTGTTGAGTTTTTTAAGTTCTAGATAGATTCTTGTTATCAGCCCTTTATCAGATTTGTAGAGAACAAATATTTTCTCCCATTCTGTAGGCCGTCTATTCACTCTAATGATAGTTTCCTTTGCTGTGCAAAAGCTTTTTACTTGATCAGGTCTCATTTGTTTATTTTTGTTGCTGCTGTGATTGCTTTGGGGGTCTTCTTCATAATTTCTTTGCCTAGGCCATGTCTAAAAGAGTCTTCCCAACATTTTCTTCTAGGATTCTTAAGGTTTCATGCCTTAGGTTTAACTCTGTTATCCATCTTGAATTGATTTTTGTAAGAGGTGAGAGGTGGGGATCCAGTTTCAACCTTCTGCATGTGGTTATCCAGTTTCCCCAGTACCATTTATTGAAAAGAGATTCTTTTCCCCATATTTTTGTCTTTGTCAAAGATTAGATTACCATATGTCGATGGTTTCATTTCTGGATTCCCAGTCCTGTTCCAAAGGTCTATATATCTATTCTTGTGCCAGTACTATACTGTTTTTGTTACTATAGCCTTGTAGTACCTCTTGAAGTCTGGTAGACTGATACTTCCCAGTTCTTTTTACTTAAGATTGCTTTGGCTATACGAGGTCTTCTTTGGTTCCATACAAAGCATAGAATTATTTTTTGTAGATCTGTAAAGAATGATGATGGTACTTTGATAGGGATTGCATTAATTCTGTAGATCATTTTAGGTGGTATGGACATTTTAACAATGTTGATTCTATCAATCCATAAGCAAGGTAGATTTTTCCATCTGTTTACATCTTCTACAATTTCTTTTCTTAGTGTTTTGTAGTTCTCCCTGGAAGTTGTAGCATGGGCCGACAGACGATATGATCTCATATCTAGAAAACCCCAAAATTCTGCCAAGAGACTATTGGAATTGATAAATAAATTCAACAAAGTCTCAGGTTACACAATCAATGTACATAAATCAGTAGCATTCATATATGCCAACAATAGCAAAACTGAAAACTAAATCAAAGACTCAATATCTTTCACAATAGCAACAAAGAAAATCCAATACCTGGGAATATATTTAACTAAGGAGGTGAAAGACCTCTACAGGGAGAACTAGAAAACACTGAGGAAGGAAATAGCAGAGGACATAAACAGATGGAAAATCATACCATGCTTATGGATAGGCAGAATCAATATTATTAAAATGGTTCAATTATTAATAAATTAAAAAACACAAGGTAATTACTACTTTGTCAAAATTTCATCTACTAAAACAGAAAACAAGCTATACTTAAGAGCTGGTTTATTCCTGGCTAAAAACTAAAATGGGGGCACAAATTCTAGTCCAACTTATTCAAGGTAAAAGAAAGATAAACTAAATTTATGTCAGTAAGATTAATATATTTTAGAGGGTTTCTAAACATGCAATACTGCCATCAGGAGCCAATAATAGAACTTGCTAAATTCTTTGGGCAAAAGCAAAGAGAAAACATACTGACACCACTACAAAGCTTTAAAAGCTTCTATACCTCTAACAACTCAACATCCAAAATAAAGCTGGGAGTCAATCTGCAGTAGTGTGCATCAGTGATAAGGATGAATATATCACATGATATAAATTTTGGAAATGCATACATTATGGATCAGAAAGAGAAAGAACAGGCCCCCACACTTTGCCACACTAGAGGAAATCTTGTCTCATAAGGCAAATGTGAAATTAACCTGGCCAATAAGGGGAACAGGTAAGAATGCCAAGTAGATAGGATTTAGAACAGAGGTTGGTTATAGGAGTGATTTGGACCAGCTGTCCCATTCCTGAAGGCCTTGGGACACAAAGGAAGTTTCAGCCTTTCTATTAGGAGGAAGGGTGATCTAAGCTAACAAGGAAGATCTTAAGAGAGGAGTGAAAAGTATGAGATGAATCATAATGTGATCAAGTGCAAAGTATTATAAATTTATATATAATCATATTTTTTATAAATAATTATAAAAAGTATGATATTATTTAGGGCTATATCCTCCAATATTATTATATATTAAATATACCGACACACAAAATGTACTCCAATACTATTTACAAAAGACACTCTGTGTAGAGTAAGCTCTCAGAGTGACTTTTAGACCATTCTATTAATATATGTCACAATATATAACAAGCTAGAGTTTTAAGATTAGATAATGCTTAAAATTTCTCTTAAAAGAGAAAAATAGGTAAAAGACAAACTGAGACAATTCAAAAGTAAAATACAAATAAACAATACATACAAAATACTTTTCCAACTTACTAGTCAAAGAAATACAAATAAAAATAACAGTAATGTTTATTGAATTGGCATTGTTTTAGAGACCATAATATCTACTATAAATAAGAAAGACAAAGAAAAAATGAACAACTGTAAAAACTATAAGGAGACTTAAGAAGAAATAAATAACTACCAGATGGGATCCTAAATACGATCCTGGGAAAGAAAAAAGACACTAATGTAAAAAATCGTGAAATTCTAATAAGGTCTACAATTTAGTTAATGTTAATTACCTGGTTATAATAAGTGAAATGTTAACATTAGGGGAAACTGAGTGAGGGGTATATGGAAACTCTTTGTACTATTTTTTCTATAACTCTAATATAAGTTTGAATTAAAAAGTTAAAATTAAAAACTAATGTCAACATTTACTATAAGCAAAGTAGAAATTATATTTTGGTATAATTTTTCTGCATAAACATTTTGGCAGTAGCTACCAAAGGCTTAAAAGGTTAATCTCCTTTGATCTAATTATTAACTTTCAGGAATTTATGGTAAGGAAATATGTAAAATGCTTAAGAGAGACTTATTTATAATAGCAAAAAAAAATTATAACCTATATGTCCAACAATGCGGGAATGGTAAAATAAATTGATAAACTATCACAGGATCATTAACATCATATACATATACAATATGGTCCTGATGGAAGTATTCTTCTCACTCTTCTAAACTCTCTCCAAAAATACATATTATTTTATAATAGAAACACAAAGATTTTATTTTATGATTATAATTTAAAAATAATTAGGTTTTAAGAAGTTTGCTTTGTTACTAACTTTTCCATTGACATCAGTTTGTTAAGTTATTTGATTCTAACTAATAGTAAAGAATTTTTACATTCTGGCTAGCTTTCCATCTTCAGAAACACCTGTTACATTTTTTACGACATTAGAAATAGTCTGTGGAACCTTACAGGATCCAAGATAGAGACTCAGCAGTCTCCCTTATTGTCTAAAGCAGCAGTCCCCAACTTTTTTGGCACCAGGAAATGGTTTCATGGAAGATCATTTTTCCACAAACCAGGGTGGGGGATGGTTTCAGGATGATTCAAGTGCATTACATTTATTATGTATTTCTATTATTACACTATAATATATAATGAAATAATTATACAACTCACTGTAATGCAGAATCTAATGCCACCACTGATCTGACAGGAGGCAGAGAGAGCTCAGGCAGTGGCACAAATGATGGGAAGCGGCCATAAATATAGATAAAGCTTCCCTGGCTCAACCGCTGCTCACCTCCTGCTGTGTGGCCCAGTTCCTAACAGGCCACAAACTGGTACTGGTTTGTGGCCCAGGGTTGGGGGCCACAGGTCTAAAGAGCAAACCTTTTTTTTAAATTTACTACTATTTTTCTAAGACAGTGGTACCCTCACTCTTTGGCTTCAGCACCCCTTTATACAACTAAAAATTATTCAATCCCCCCCAAATTTTTTATTATGTTGGTTATACTTATCAATATTTACCCTACTAGAAATTAAAATAGAAAAATTTTAAAATATTAGTTCATTTTAAATTATAAACCCATTACAAATTAACAAAAATATTTATGAAAAATGACTTACAAGCACAAAAAAATTAGCACAGTGGCACTGTTTTACATCTTTGCAAATCTCTTGAAAATCAAAAACTGCTACAGTCTCTTACTGCTTCTCCTTTCAATCTGCTAGGACAAGTTGTTTTGGTTGAAGCATATAAAAAAATCTGGCTTCACAGCAATGTATAAATGAAAAAGGGAGTATTTTAATAGCATTTTAAGATAACTTTGACATACTATTTGATTTTATACTGAAACTCAATAGTTGGTACTTAAAGGCTTGTGGTAGTGTGAAATCTAAAGCCACATCCCTCAACTTTTTGTACTCTGTTCCATTAAAATCATTGGTCTATCTTAGATTTTTAAATGGATCCTTTACCAATGCATAATTTTGTAACATATACATTGGTTATTGGGAAAATAATAGTTTCATCAAATTATGCAGATCTTCCAAATGTTAATATAGTTCATTATATAATATAAAAAACCATTATTAATAAATACCACCACCTATCAGAAAAGTCTTAAATTATTAGGAAGCTGTCAAGATCATGGTGGCAGATAAAAGTTTTCTAAAATCCTAATTTTTGCTTGAAAGTTAAAATTTTACCATTAGCAAAAAATATTACTATTGGTTGTTTGCCTTTAAGTGACAGGTTCACTTTGTTCAGTTTTGAGGACATATTTGCCAAACACTCAAGATTAAGTAACTGTGTATGGCAGACAGACTCTAAAGTGGCCCCCATCATGCACAGGTCCTGGTATCCAATCCTTTGTGATTCCCTCTCTTTGAGTATTGGATAGCACCTCTGACTTGTCTCTAAACAATAGCATACGGCAAAGGTTATTGGATACACATGATTTTGTGTACACAATTATCTTACCTAAGACTGTAAGGAAATCTTGCTAAGGACCCTCTCCCCCTTGGTAGCTTTGAGGAAGCAAGCAACCATGTTGGAAGTCCCACCTGGCAAGGAGCCAGCCAAAAGCTAGCAAAATACTGAGACTCTCAGTCCAACAACCCTTAAGGAACTGAATGTTGCCAACAACCACACAAACTTAGAAGTAGTTACTTCCCCAGTAGAGTTTCAGATGAGATGGCAACTTCAGGGACCCTATCTTGAATGCAGCCTTGTGAGACCCTCAAGCAGAGGATCCAGCTAAGCCATGACCTGACTCCTGACCCACAGAAACTGTAATACTGTGAGCTAATAAGTGTGTGTTCTTTTAAGCCATATAAGTTATATGGTAATATTGACATACAGAAACAACTAATACACCATGACTTGTCAGTCATTCAAGTAAAAATGGTATATTTTTTTTTTAAAAAAGCAGGTAGTTTTGCCATTATGCAATCCCACAACTGCTTTTACTCAAGACAATCAGCATACTTCAGACATATAAGCACTTTATGCATACTACCCAATTCATCACACAGAATATTTTAAAAGACATACACTCAACAATAGAGAATTAACAAAATTAATAACATTTTAATACTTCATCAAGGAAATTCAGTACAAGTGGAATATTTTTTGCTATGAATGCACAGTGGGTGACGAACACAAAAACTGTGAGTACAATTTGGTGATACCACCTTGATTCACACTCAGGCACCAGTAATTTACCTACCATTACTTTGGCATCATCAGTGCACATGGCAACACAGTTGAAATGGCAAATAGTGTTTGACTATGATGACAACAGCAATGACTCTCAGAGTCCTGAAAGAGTCTTGGAGAACACCAGGGGACTGCAGCCCACACTTGGAGAACTATTGAACTAAGGCAATTTCTTCCATTTTTTTGAAAGTATACATTTATATACAACATATATGTATGAGTGTGTGTGTATATATACATACAAACTATGGGTTAGCCTGTAACGGAATTCCAGATCCAGCATCTGCCAGCTATGTGATTTTGAGTAAATCATTTAACATCTATGACCCCCAGTTTCCTCAATGATAAAATGGGTATAATAATAAGTGACTACTTCCATAGGGATGTTTAAGAATCAAATGACATTAACTTATGTACAGTTTTAGCACAAAGCCTTATACATATTAGCAGCTCAATAAATATTAACTACTATCATTATCTATTAGTTTCTGTTAAAGTTTTTTTAAAATACCTAAACTATGAAGGAATGTTTTCAGAATAAAAAGCTACAATGGCCTCTTGATAATTTTTCCAACTAAGAACTCCTGGCCCAGTTTACAATCTTAAATATTTTGCCATTATGCAATATTTATTACTGATTATATACCTTTGTGTTTTGTGATGATACCTTAGTTTTCAATACTATACCAATTTAAGCATATTACCTAATTTATTAACAGGTTGAATAAGTAGCTCCCACAGTACTTTGAGTACTGCTTGAGCTATCACAAAGATGGTAACATTTTTGAGGCTGATTATGCTTCTACTGGATGAGTACTTATGACAGTCCAAAATTTTAATGAGGTATTCTTGATATTGATATATCAAATCCAATGTGTCCCTGAGCTGACTGTGTAATTTCAGAAACACTTACAGGTTTAGAAAAAGGCTGAACAATAACAGAACTATCTGAAGATCTAGATTCAGGACGAAAGTTTACTGGCGAGGCAGTCACTGGATTTGATGTTGGATTCATGTAGGGTTGACTTGTAGGCTTGAATGCAGCAGTAATACCTGTATTTTAAAATACCACAATATACTGAATATATTTCTATATAATCAATTTTATCAAAATACTTCGCTTTACAATGAAAATAGTACAATAAAACCGTACCTCGACTGAGTGCACCATTCTTTAGTCCCCTTGAATATGAGCTGGGGTTAACTCTGTTCAAAATATCTACAAAAGATTATATTTATTTTAAAATTTATTGTTTGGATGAAATATATACTAAGGTAATAGAAATCATGAATTGAAAACAAACAGATTGCTGGAAGGAGTATATAACTTAACATTAATTTAAGAATACAGTTAAACACATACATCTTTACTAAAGAAACAAGATTACCAGCATTAATTATTTCATAGAATAAGAACATCTTTCTAACTCAAAATCTAAAAGCTAGAGGTAATAAAATCTGACTATATATAAATAAAAGCATTCTCCATAGCAAAGAAATAATCCACAGAATAAAAATTTTCCAAAAATAAATTTATATACAACCTATAATTGAAGGACAGATCTTTCTTTGAATGATGACTAGGTTGTACATACACGTGGATGCCTATGACTCCAAATCAAAGCCTTGCCCAACTTCCACATTCCATTCATACCTCTAAAAGCCTTGAAGTTTCATTATGGACCATTTCATTGGATTATTTATCATTACTTTTAAATTGTGAAGGGGAAACAATCAGAAATTTCAGATTAAAATGAACCAACAGTTAATTAACCAGAGTATTTCAGTTAAGTAGTTTCAAATCTACCACTACACCAGAAGTCAATCTGAGCCTGACATGACTTTGAGGATCAGTTTAAAGTTTTTTCACTCTTACACACATGTAAATTCTGTCACTTTTAGCTTACTAAACTAAAATTTGGAAGAGTGAAGATTTGCCTAAAATTGCTGGTTTGGAAGAAAGTACCCAAAATAACCACCAAATCTTGTAAAAAAAATTCCTTTTTTTCCCCTCATAGTGGGAAAGAACCAGATCCCATTAAGTAATTCTACAAAGTAAAGGTTCACACAAAAATATGGTTTTCTGGTAATGTCAACGCAGTGCTCTATAATTAACCACTGCAGAAAGCTTATTGGAGAAAACCCTGCTCAAACAACTTGATACTGTTTTCACTCAGAAATTCAACATTAAATATTTACTCAAACCATCAAAGAACTATTGCTAGAGGACTTTTTAGTGGTTTTAATCTACAAAAACAAAAGTTTTTACCCTCCTTTCTGGCAGTTCATATTTAACTCATATTCTATATATGTTAAAATGTTTTATGGCTTACATATAAAATAAAAATTAAATCATTTTAATTCTTCATCTTAACAGTTCAGAAAAATTATACTGAGGTCAATCCCCTTAGAATTATTTTAAACTAATATATACTGTTCTAGTTGAATACTGTTTTTTGTTTGTTTTTTTTTTTTTGAGACAGAGTCTCGCTTTGTTGCCCAGACTAGAGTGAGTGCCATGGCGTCAGCCTAGCTCACAGCAACCTCAAACTCCTGGGTTCAAGCAATCCTTCTGCCTCAGCCTCCCAAGTAGCTGGGACTACAGGCATGCGCCACCATGCCCAGCTAATTTTTTCTATATATATTAGTTGGCAAATTAATTTCTTTCTATTTATAGTAGAGACGGGGTCTCGCTCTTTCTCAGGCTGGTTTTGAACTCCTGACCTGGAGCAATCCGCCCGCCTTGGCCTCCCAGAGTGCTGGGATTACAGGCGTGAGCCACCACGCCCGGCCTAGTTGAATATTGTTAATAGTCATCTACAATCAGTACAAATTCAACATGAATCTTAACTGCCATAAATAACAATTTTGCAATATGATAATATCCAGTATAAAATAATCAGTGACTAGGAGACAATAACTAAGAGAATATAATATTATGTTCTGCTATCACCAACATGCATGCCATCATGCCTAATTCATTTTATAATCCAAGAGGCACTTCACTTGGTGCTCCATGAGAGATTACAATCTGCCACAGAAAATGGTATTAAAAATTCAATCAGTTAAATTATTCTCCCTCTGGTAAAACTGAATAAAAGTGTCATTCCAAGTTTAGAGGCAACAGAAGTAAGAACTAGGCTTTCAGGAAATTTTAAAGCAGTCTTGTAATCACACTTTTCAAGCACTGCCATGGTAAGTAAAAGCATACTAGTATGCTGGGTACATTACATTCTTCAGTAAATTCTCCTGGCTTAAACATGTAAATGAAATGGAAAAGGATCTATTTTCTCCCTGAAATTTATACATTATTTCTCTGCATTCTATCACACATTTTTGAGCAAACATCAGCATTTTTAATGTTATAACAATGTCAAGTCCAATTACTCAACTGAAAGCTAATAATCCATAAAGGTACCAAGTTATTCTGCTAAAAAGCAATAAAGATTAAAGTGAATTAACTGCTGTATCATCCAAATACAGTGGCTGTACACAATGCTCTTCTCTTTTATGAATATAAACAGGAGTTGCTAAAAAATGGATGTGGTCAGAAGCTACAGCCTCTGTCACTATACAGGCCAGACACTGTGCTATCACTCACTGCCTATACATTTTATAGTCATGTGAGATATAGATGACACCGTAATGAGGCCTAGATGTGAGATCTCCTGTCCGAGACTAACACAGACTCATTTAGTATATTCTGAAATTTTAAGCAAAACATTCCAAATCCTTTCTTTTCTGTGCTTCTGGGTTTAAGTGAGAAAAATAAAAAGGAACAAACATAAATTGGTTGTTACTTAGCTTCACTAAAAATTATGCTTTCCACTCTCAGAAGACCTCCACTGTCATCAGCTAATATTAGTTCATTTCTTTTCTCATATCTGATACTTCATCTCTTACTTCCTTCAAGTCCCCAATCACATCCCTATTCTGATTCTCAAGTTCTTACTCGCCTCCCACCGAATCTTTCATCTCTAACTCCTTACAGTGAAATAAGGATGTCAAGTACTTATAAAATAGTTTACAAGTTCTTCATTAGAAACAATACCTTATAAAACTTGGCTTCACTAAAAGTAAATGCTTACTTGAAATTGCTGGTTTTGAACTTGATATCTCTCCAACAAAGATGGGCTCATCATCGTCATCATCCTCAACCTCTTTTACTTTCTTCTGCCATGGTTCCAGCTCTTCTTCTTCACATTCCATAAAGAGTTCTGCCATTTTTGAATTATCTAATTTTCAAAAGGAGAGAAGTAAACCTTATTTTCAGAAAGAAAAATAAAAACATTTCTGTAATATATAGTGTAATATTCTATGTTAATAATCTTAATAGCAATTTCTGAATTGATATTTGTAATCAGTACATGGTAACACATGGGAAACTCAGAGCTTACTCTCTAAGATATAAACTAGTAAAATTCAGATAGGTAATAGATGACATTAATTATTTACAGTAACAGAAAATGTGGAACAGTCAAATCCAGTCAAAGTGAGTTTCAGTCATATACCTGGAATATGATCATCTCTATAAAAAGCATTGTATCTAACCATTATCTTTTTTTAAAAAAAATATATTAACAAAAGAGAAATAAACTAAGAATAAGAGGCAACATGTGGGAGATCAACTAGAAAAACTGAACCAGATTCAAGAAGGCCAGGCACAGGACAAAGCAGGGAAGAGATGCTAGAATAAAATACGGAAATAAGTGGGGGTTATTTCATCAAGACAAATTAGACATTTTTCACCTGAAGAATGTCACAAATCATTTCTTGGTCTAATGTTATTTATATGTTTACTAGTCCACCTACCCCCACCCAAAAACGCCTTCCCATTTTCCCAAATGACATCAACATCAGGAACTGACCCCTCTTTTCTCTAACTGTACTCTTTTACTAATTAGACAGAGTTCTTCAAGTCAAATAATTAAAAATACTAATTTTTACTGGCAATTCATAGCTTAGCATTTGCATATCTTACATACTTGAAACACCATCCTCATTGTGTATCTCAAGAGCTAATATCTATACTGCTTATTCTGTACAGAATATCCTTCCTTCTTACCTATATCATCTATATCATTCCAGTCTAAAGCAAAGAGAGCATGTAGTTGATATCAAATTGAATAGCACATTCATCTTCTACAGCTATCTTAAAAAAAAAAAAAAAATTGAATAGCACAAATCTTCACTGCACTGTTTCCAATCATGCGACACTAGAGAAATTACTTGAATCTATTTTCCTCATGTATAATATGGGTATGATATCTACGTAATAAAAATATTACATAGCTTCAAGAAAATGCCATATAATGTGCCTAACTTCAAGCAGATACCCAAAAAAATATTCATTTCCTGCCTCTCTTAACTCTTGGTTCAATTATAACTCCCTTAGCAAACCATAAGATTTTACTTTTCTTCAAATTCTAAACCACACTGACTGTTTATATCAGGCAATTAAATATCTACAATACATTTCAAACTGCTTACCATTTCTTCATGTATCTTAATTTTATATATCCAAGTCCCAACTGAGCTCATTAGGAGTATATTTCCCCCTACATATTAGATGGGCAGTAGGCACATAGCACATGATAATCTACGGACTTGATGAAGTCAGGCAATGTCTAATTTTAAACAATTAGGGAGACCTACTGTATACTGATAATAAAACTTTCATTTATATCCAGTTGGTATATTTTATGGGCTGCATTGTGTTTCCCCAAAATTCATATGTTAAAGATATATGACATACTTACTACCACAGAATTGTGACTATATTTGGAAACACAGTCTTTAGAGGTAATTAAGTTAAAATGAGGTTAGCAGCGTGGGCCTAATCCATAATGACTGGTATCCTTAATAGAAGAGGAGATTAGGACACAGACACCTGTGGGAGGGGATACCATGTGAAGATATAAGAAGACGGCCAAGGAGAGAGGCCTGGAACCCTTTCCTCATGGCCCTCAGAAGAAACCAACGCTATGACATACTAATCTTGGACTTCTTACCTTAAGACTTGTGAGAAAAATCCCACAATTTCCATTGTGTTAGCCACCCAGTCTGTAGTACTTTGTTATGGCAGCCCAAGCAAACTAAGACATTATTTAATAATTCCTTGTTCTTTTTAACAGGACATTGCCATTGTTAATATAGCCATGATAGGCCGGGTGTGGTGGCTCACGCCTGTAATCCTAGCACTCTGGGAGGCTGAGGCGGGTGGATTGCTCGAGATCAGGAGTTCGAAAACAGCCTGAGCAAGAGTGAGACCCTGTCTCTACTATAAATAGAAAGAAATTAAATGGCCATAGAAAAAATTAGCCAGGCATGAGTGGCGCATGCCTGTAGTCCCAGCTTATCGGGAGGCTGAGGTAGTAGGATCACTTGAGCCCAGGAGTTTGGGGATGCTGTAAGCTAGACTGACACCAAGGCACTCACTCTAGCCTGGGCGACAAAGTGTAACTCTGTCTCAAAAAAATAAATAAATAAATAAAGCCATGATACATTGTTGAGGAAAAAAATTAAAAGACACATAATAGCTTTATAAGTTTTTAGAAATAATTTATTTTTTTTGTCTATGAATAGAAGAAACATGTGATCATGTATGCCAAATTGATAATAGTAGTTACCTCTAGGAATGAGGAGAAAACATTTCATATTTCTACTTCACTCACTTTTTTATTAACATTATTTGTTTTTAGGTGAGCATTTGTTACTTGAACAATTTTAAGAGTTTGTGTTTTTAAGAAAACATCCCCTACCTCATCATTTTTCCTGAAGCAAAGTTATACAAAAGCCACGAATACCAGTATCACTCATGTCAGCAACACTTACTCTTTGGTTGAAAAGGGTTGTCGCCCATCAAGTTGCAGAGTTGACTTTCTGTAAATTGTCACCTAAGTACTGACACATGACATCAGTCAATTTTATGAGTCACTTAAGCAACACCAAATTTTGAAACATGAAACTTGGGATTCACAAATTGTTGGATCTAATTTTGATCTCTAAACTCACCATGTGACTCCAGACAAGGCAGCAAGTTACGTCTCAGTTTTCCTTCCTATAAAATAAAGATACTGTTAGGGTGGAATTCATTAAATTAAATGTAGACATACTTAATTTAACCTTTTCCCCTATAAAAAGCTCAATTTTTATGTTTGATACACACATGCAATTTACTTTACATAAATGTTTCATTTCATTCCTGAATAAACCCAAATTTAATAAATAAAATATTAGGCACTTACTACTTGAAGAAATATGATGAATCAGTAAATGACAAATAATTTTTTAAAGTATCCTTTCATAAAAATCAGTAATCACCTCATCATATATTGTAGTAAATTTTACTTTTCAAATGCTAAGTGACATTAATCTTTAACTGTTACCTCTTCTTCACATTTCTGAAATAAATGTAATTATTTCTTTAAGAAAACAATTTTAAATAAATTTTAGTTTATGTTTTTCTGGCTTTTTATTAACTAACTGAAAAAGAACAGAAAATTAGTTGGATATATTTCATCATAGATTAATTCAATTGAAAAATAACTACTCATGGCCTTCTGCATGCAACATTCTAGGGGAAAACATAGATGACTAAGCCACAATCCTGGTTTTCAGAAGTTTACAATCTAATATGTTTATAATTCACTGGGCCTTTAAAATGCTGCTAGAATAAACATTATCCCAAAAAACACATTTAAACCACTTTATTTGAACTACGAATTTGTTCTGTGAATTCCCATCCACACACAACAGCATAAATTTTACAAAATAAGCTTTTAAAAAACGATTTTAGTTATAAAGCAAAAAAGTTCAAAACCTAGACACTGGAAATCTAAAATACTGGAATACACAGCTAACTCAATATTCACATTCCTCTTTTGCCTTAGGCTGAAAAAAGCAAGCTTTCCTGCTTTTCCATTCCCAAATTATTTGGACTGAATTAGTATAAAGGAAAAAATACTTTAATTTCAGAAGTTATTGCTATAAATGTTTGAATTACTGCAAGAGACTCTAGTGAATCTTGTGTTTAACTAAATCCCCCTAGTTCTGAAGTCTACTTAAATCTCTTTTACTCAGTTATCTGAATAGTAGCTTGTCCCTAAACTAGAATCAGTATAATGTTTATGCCAAGTAGATAAATACATAATTTTTGCTTAGCATTAAGGATTTAACAGTACCAAGAAAACAGAATATTTTTAAGATTCATAATTCACACCCTGTGAGACTCATATATAGTATTTTCACTATGTGACCATATAAACATTTTATTATTTAAAAATAGCACTTATTTCATTTGATTATAATGAAGATTAAATGAGATAATACATGTAAAGCACATAGCTCATTGTCTGGCAAACAGAAACCACTCAAAACTCTTAATCATTTTTTTAACTCTAGGCCAATTTTAAAGAACTCTACAAATTGATCCCAATTCTATTATAATACTGGAATTTACATGCCAGCAACTGAGCACTTAGAAATTGTTTTACTATAGTCATGTATCACTTAATGACAGAGATAAGTTCTGAGAAATGTATCATTACACGATTTCGTCATTGTGAAAAGATTATGGCGTGTACAGCTCTTATACAAATCTAGATGGTTATAGTCTACAACACACCTAGCGTATATGGCATAGCCTGTTGTTCTGAGGCAACAAACCTGTACAGAGTGTTACTATACTGAATACTGTAGGAAACTTTAACATAAATCACTAGGTGACAGGAATTTTTCAGCTCCATTATAATCTTATGGGACCACCACCACTGTATATGCCGAGTGTTGTTAACCAAAATGTCATTATGTGGCACATAACTACATAAGATCTTCATTACAGTAAAATTTCTCATGATGAAATTTTAGCTTTATAAATATACCTGCTGGAATGTAGCTGTCAAAGGTATCATGCCATATTTTCATCTTTTTTAAAAAGCATTTCTAAACTAGTTAAAATGCACAAAAAGATTTGTAAACCCTCATAAAAGCAACACACACCCCTAAAACTTATCAACACTGTTAAATTATATACTACTAACCTCACAGAATAAAACAAGTATCTAATTCAAAACCACCAACGTATAAAACTTAACATATTAGTTAACGGTATAAATGGTATCTTATACCATTTCCATTAAGAAAAAAATGCTATTTCATTCTGCATGCATCCCAGTATTATAATTTCTTAAAAAGACCTTTAAAAAAAATGAGGGCCGGGTGTGGTGGTTCATGCTTCTAATTTTAGCACTTTGAGAGGCTGAGGCAGGAGTACTGCTTGAGGAGGCCAGGAGTTTGAGACTAGCCTGACCAAGAGCAAGACCTGTCTCTATAAAAAAAAAAAAAAAAAAAAGAAAAATTGGCCAGGTGTTGTGGCATACACTCGTATCCCAGCTACTCAAGAGGCTGGAACATGAGGATCATTATGCCCAGGAGTTTGAGGTTACTGTGAGCTATGATGATGCCACTGGACTCCAGCCCAGGCAACAGAGCAAGACCTTGTCTCAAAAAAATAAAAAATAAAAAAGAGTAGCTTGTAAGTAAAATACAAAAGTGAACATGAGGAATATGGTGAATAGTTCAATTCTAGATCTTCTTCCCAGATGCCATAAATTCAAGGTATATACTCAATGAAATAATCCAAGAAATCAAATTATAAAGTCAACCTTTGTTTTCTTTCCCGTCATAAAAATGTATAAGTTAGAGGTTGCATTCTTAGCCAAGAAGTTGGCAACACCAAAACCAGATATGACCAACTTAACACAAAAGGGAAATATAGACCAGGCATGGTGGCTCACTCCTGTAATCCTAGCACTTTGGCAGGCCAAAGCAGGAGGATTGCTTAAGGCCAGGAGTTTGATACCAGTCTGGGCAATAGCAGGACCCCATCTGTACAAACTTCATCTTCCTTTTGTGCCTCAAATGTTTTTTAAAATGTTTTGGTGTTAGAAAACTAAATATCTTTTTCAGAATCAGTCCAGTTGTTACTATTAAAAATCAATCTTATTTTTGAAAAGGGCACATTACAACCACACAAAGCTCATTATTAAAAACATCTGATCACCAGCATTTAAAACATTACAGACAAAATACTGGAAGATCATAGAATCTTAAAAGACTTTAGAAGATAAATCTCACCTAATTTCTGAAAAATTCTAATTTTTATTTTAAGAATATTGCCTCTGGATAATGAGCACTATTTAGAAAAAGAGAAAAGGATTTTAAAAAGGGAGAATATGGATACACACAGTTTTTATTTGTAAAATAAATAAAAAATATAAAATATCTTTTTAAAAAGGATTATACATTTGGGAATCTTAACAGTGAACAAGCAAGCAGAGAAGGGAAAAGTCTGGGACTCAGTCTTGAAGGAAGTGGACATCAAATGAGACCAGGACTTGAATAGGGAAAATCTAGGTCCTGGAAGAGGTTGCTGTAGCTAATTCCAAGAATAAGCCTAGGGTAATTAGGCCAGTTTACTCTGCCCATCTTCTAACTTATACAAAAAACTTCATTCTCTGAAGGTAGCTTATCAAACAATTAGCACTTTTATTCCCTGAAATTAGGAGAAATCCAAATGGATTCCTTAAAGCCAAAACAAATCTCCAAGTTAGTGAACACAATCAAGACTTTCTGAAGACAATAAAATATATTATAATATAAACAATTTTAAAAATGATATGCTTGTTTTCTATCTAATGCAAAGCACAAATCCTAACACTGAATAGGCTATGAAAAAAGGCCCTACCTCAGGAAGTCATCTATTGGAGGATTGTGGTAAAAACATCAATATCTTATAAAAGAGGAGATGGTTGCCATAATAATAAAAATTAAAAGTGCTACAGTATTCATCTGTCTTGGCAACTCCTAAAAGAAGAAAAAAAAAAAAAAAAAAAAAAAAGTGCTACAGTAAAGGTTCTTGATAAGGTATTGGGAGCACCATAGGAATAAAAAACTTTGCAAAATGTTGTGCATAATCAATTTCTGAGGAGATAAGACAGTGCATCGAATTCTTAAGAATCTCTAGGTTAGGAGTTTGAAAAAAGCAATCACATCTAGCTGGAGGGTTAGGAAATGACCTACCATGGAAGAAACATGCATTAATCCTTAATGGAAAAATGTTTTCTTTTCATTAGTACTTCTTTAAAAAATAAAGCATGTTCATTGAAAATAATTCAAACATATTAAGTGTATAGAATAAAAAGTAAGAATACTATTCCCTCTCCTGTCCCACCCTCTAAACCTACTCACCAGAGTTTGGATACAATACAATAGATAACAGCAGTGATTGAAGATACAAATATGGTTAAGGGATAAGAAGAGCATTCCAATACCTTGTAAGACTTAACAAACGGCAATATTTAGAGCAATGATTTGAATTAAATCTGCCATACTGTGTGCAGATTAAGTTTATATATGAGTAGATAGTGCAATGTGTGTTATCTAACAGAATGAGGCTTTAAAAGATCTCAACAAGAGAATGAATGATAAAATAATAGTTTGTATTTGCCCCAAAGACAAAATTCACAAAAATACAAATTGAGATGTATTGCTTACCAGTTTTGGTTACCAAAAGACCTTTGAGTCAAAAAGGTTAGCCATTCATTTAAAAAGTATACAACTGGCCCTCCATACCAGTGGGTTCCACACCCACAACCATGGATCAAATATATTCAGGGGGGAAAATGATAATAATGTAACAACAAAAAATAATGCAAATTTTAAAAATATAACAACTATTTACAAAGTATTTACATTATATTAGTTATAAGTATTATAGAGATGATTTAAAAGTATGAGGGAGCATTCACATAGGTTATATGCAAATACTGTGCTATTTTATATAAAAGACTTGAGCATCCTCTAATTTTGGTATCAATGGGGGTCCTGGAACCAATCCCCCTGCAGATACTTAGGGACAACTATACTTATATGTCAGATATACATATATGTCAACTATACTTATATGCCAGAATACAATAATGAACAAAGGCTAATACTTAGTTGTTGCACTCACAAATCTTATGCTCTAGAAATAAGGATAAACACTCATATAAAAAG